GGAAACCTGTGGTGTGATACCTTCTGCCACTATCTGCTGCCTGGCCTCAGCCCTCGCCTGCCTAAGCAGGCCTAGTTCTCCTGTGAAGCTTTAAGCCTGATCGCATGCCATACTGTGAATGAACCATGTGCTGGTTTGGAAATACTTGCTCACCTGAGATGCTGGCTGGGCTGCCCTATTGTTCCTGAATAAGTTAGAAGATCCCAGATGGGAGTGGAATCCATGTTTGGAACTTGTTGGTATCCATGTAAAATATGACACAGGCCTGTTAAAGGGGGTGTTTTCAATTCTGTAGACTCAGCAGATGATACTACTCAGTCTTTGGGAAAATGTCCAGTTGGCCTCTGGCTTAGGACTCTCCACAAGGAGTTAGAAATAGTGGAGCTTCTCTCCTACCAGACTAAAAAGCATGGGCCAAATTATGTGTTTAGAATTTGCTTGGGCTTTAAATGTGAAATATGCCCTACGCCTGGTAGAGACCATTCCAGTGTCAGTGTCCCACCTGGGACCTGTACGATCCTCAGTAAATTATGATTACAGTGAATTAGGCTTTTGCCTTCCATATCCATCATCTGTTACAGCATCTCTGCTTCCATCTGGTTAAGGGGAGGGAAGCTGAAATCACTGATGTATCAATAGAAGTAATTTAGCATAGGAACTTGCATTTGTAACTTATCTTGTTTTGTTCTACTTGAAAATCAAGAAAGTTAAGATAGCTCACGGTGCAGATGCTCCCAGATGCCACATGTGAAGATTTCTGACTGTGTGACTACTGATGATCTTTTGGCTAGAAGATAAATCGTAGCTAAATCATTGTTTTTCATTCTGGGGGCTATGAGGATGAATTTGCTATCAGTCTTGATACACTGAAAGCCATTCAAACACACTAAAAGATGAAATCACTCACCTTTAAACTCAGGCCTTCAGGGAAGCTTTTGTAAAGGGCAGTAATGAATTAGCCTTTCAGTCGTAGGACATCAACCCTCCTAGAAGAGGCAGAGACCCGAGGGACCATTTATTTCCTTTTGAAACTGCATATCCCAGGGACTGGATTGAGATGCTTTCTCCAGTCGCTGTATAGGTCAGCCTTGCAGAGGTAAAGGAAGAGTGGGCAGGTGGATGAATAAAATAGGATAATGCTCAGCTTGGCAGTGAACTTGCCTTATTGTGATGACAGTTCTAACACAGGCAAGAAAATTAGCATGGGGACCAATATGTGAGGCATGGGCTTTTATCTCCCTAATAGATCCCAAGCTAGTGGGCTTGGATTCTGCAAAATGGCCAGTGCTCCTGTCTTGTCCCCTGTACCTTATAGTTATACCTTGGGGTGAGAATCCTGCTGACACGTCCCGTCCTTTCTCATTTCAGGAGAACTCTTTTCTGATTCAGGTAGGGGGAGAGGAGGAGTTAAGGGCTCCATTTACTCCCAAGTCATGGATTTTTAATATTCCATTTTTATTACTAATATACCTCTGTTCCTAGAAGCTACTGGAGTACTGAGTGTTGTGGGAAATGGCTAACTGTGAATTAAGTTAATGTTTTTCTTATAAGAAATGGAAGTTTATTTTTTTATTGATATTACTGTGTGATGAAATGAGTATGCATATACTGAAATGGAAGGAAATTTTAAAACTATTCTAGAGGAAATGGGCAGTTTTGTAATTTGGTAGTGGCTGAGACCCCATAGAAGTTTTACTATGTAAATGATTTGGAATGAATAAGGAGATTGTGCTATAACATCTTGACAGCACTCTTTAGGAGGTAGACTTGACAGTCCTAGGAAGGTTGACCAACCTTAAGTAAAACTCTAGTACAAAAAAGGGTAAATGGCATCATTCTTTTTTTTTTTGGGCCTCTTTCTTAACTGGAGAGAGGTGGGAGTGGGATGGGAGATTTATAACTGGCACTTTAATTCATTTTTGGAACTAGAATTTAGGGGCAGTTGGATGAAATTGCAAATTTAGAAAGGGAGTAAGAATTTTCTAGTGCTATAAAAAAGAAATGACAATGGAAAAAAAAGCCTTGCTTTCATCTTTTTAGAATTCTCGAATTTTAGCATACTGTGGGGCTTTTAGAGTTAATATGATCTAAATTCAGAAAATTTAATTTTCCTAGTAGGCCAGGTGTGAATTACTTATGTTTTCTGTAGAATGCTCATTTAGACTAATAATAAATTTACTTTGCTCTCTGAGGCCAGTCAGCGAGTGTGGGAGTGAGGCAGGATGTTTTAATTAGCCAGAGATGATCCATAGAGTGAACAGTTCACACAGAGGTCACTGAGTTGGATGGTTGTAAATGTATATAATGGACATTAGAATGAAAACTCCTTCCTTTGGGTAAACTAAACAAAAAGTATACTAAAAATTTTAAGATGATGTTACAAAAAAAAGTTTCGGTCTAATGTGGCCACAAAGATTGTTAAGTAAACAATGGTAGAGATTCTTGGCTTTGGAACAACCAACCTGGATGAGTGACTTCAGGGACGGAAAGCAAAATGAATTTCCTGTATTTACCCAAAGCTTGTTGACTGAATTTTTGTACAGGTCTGGGAAAATAAGCCTAAACAAATAGTTGTAGCCTTAGAAAAACTTTTCCCATTTCTTTCTAAGAATCAGCATAGCCTCCCTGTCGCCTTAAAGGTAAAACTCCTATTTTGATTAAGAACCCAGCCTAAGAATTATAGCAATACGAGAGACTGAATCTATTTTTTGTTTCAGGTATTTACCTCATATTATGAAATTGGTAAGACACTTAATAAATTTTGCCCTGAATACTGGTGTGCCCAGGTATGCCGTGCTCTCTGTTTCCAGTGGTGATAATTTTAAGACCTAAAGAAAGCTGGGGTTAATCCTGAAGCTAAGAGTAAATGTTTCTTGAATTGATTTTGTTCTGTGGTACAAATAACATCTATGAATATCATATCTGTATATATCTGAACCAAGTTGTGTGCAGAGAGGTTGACATAACTATATTTACAGAAAATGATTTTTACAATTAAAGTTCACATTTTAACATGAACATGTGTGCTGCAGTCCCTTCTCTAGTCCAAGAAATGTGGTTTGTGGTAGGAAGGAATGGTGGCCCACCCCACGAGCAGAGCTGTGGGGCTGAACCTGACTTCACTTACAGTCATGATGGAGGAGATTGGGGAGCTGCTACCTGTCCTCCTAGAAGCCACGATCAGGACAAACTTTCTCCAGGTAATGGGAAACAAAGTTGGGAATAACTACACCACCCAGAAGACCAGTTTAAAACTGTATGTATTTATTTGGTATATGTGTAACTTTTATTCTAAACTTTTATTTCATTTTTAACCTTTTGGGGAGTTGCAGTATTTATTTAGAACTGGTAGAGAGTACATTGCTGGCAGCGGCTCTATAAATCAAATGGCCTGGAATCAAAGCCGGGTTCCTACTTTCTGAGCTGTGTAACCATATAATCTTACAGACTGAGTATCCCTTATTTGAAATGCTTGGGACTTAGAAGTATTTTCAGATTTCACATGTTTTAGGATTTTAGAATCTCTGCATTATAAATCCAAAACCCAAAATGTTCCACTGGGCACTTCCTTTAAGCATCATGGTGGCAAAGTTTCAGATTTTGGAGCATTTCCGATTTTGCCTTTTCAGATTAGGGATGCTCAACCTGTAGCTACTTCCTAGGGTTGTTGTGAGAACTGATGTATCAGTTACGTGTGTGAAGCACTGGCACATAGGAATTATAACTGCATACAAATAGGTGCAAAGTAGCTATGAGGAAAGAAAAAAGCTTTATGTTAAGCTCTTAGAGAAAGCAACTACGGTATTTTTAACAAAAGTCATCTTTGCATTTGAGTGAAATTAACCTGTCAAAAAGTTTGTACTAAACAGAATCACCTGGAAAGGGAGGCTGACTTAAAAAATGCAGCCGCATCCCCGAACTGGGTTATTAGGTTCTCCTCCAGATAGCTCAGCATTCCAGCTTTGGGTGACAAGGCTCACTCTCTTTTAGTTGCATTGTTAAACATCTTCCATGCAGGCCTTACGGGCAAGGACAAGGCGAAGAACAAAGCAGTCAATAAGGAAACCAAGCCCTCACAGGAAAGAGCCTGAATCAAGAAACAAAGCTTGAAACAAGGTATATTTATATTTAAAACTGAATTAAGATTCTAATGTGGCTTCCATATCCTTCCCTAATTATATGTACCATTATGATTAGAACCAAAAAATGAGCACACACATATACACACTGGTAGCCTAGCAAAGAAGCCAGATTCTGCACTGGTCCTTGATACTGTTACAGAACCACGATATGCTAAATGCTCTCAGCTCAGGTGAAAACTTTTATTTTCATATATCACAGCATCCCTTCTCCCTACCCGTGGGTGGTATGGGATGAGTGATCTTTATGCTGATGTTTGCAACCATCTGTTACGTCTTTGCTAAAAGCAGAAATTTTACCATCCTGATGCTGATGTTTGCAACCATCTGTTACGTCTTTGCTAAAAGCAGAAATTTTACCATCCTGAAGAATATACAGTGTGAAATAAGAAGGCCTTACATTTTGTGATCTTCATTCATGGACTTTTCATAGCTGTTCTGTAATCCACTAAAGCATTGGTCGTGTCTCTCCATGGGTTGTGTGGGCATGGTGTATGTACTCTACCTTAAATGGGATCTGCCTGAGAGTAAGCCTGTGTAGCTCAGGCCTGCCAGCTCTGCTTCCTCCCTTTCCCCCCTCGCAGGCTTCCCTCATTGATCTTCCTGTGGCGCACTGCCCTCTAGAGTATAAGAAGAACCTCAGGGGCACTAAACAAAGGAAAATGTGAGTGGTAGGAAAAGTAAATGGTGAGAATGACAGGCTTGGCAAATCAGGGGGATTTCAGTTCTCTGCTTTCAACAACTAAAGGAGAATCTAATCAAGTTGTTAATTGATAGATCATTATTAATAATTCTTGATGACTGATAGAGCACTGTGATTTTTGTCAAAATTCCAAAGGAATTCAAAGAACTGCACAAAAATTGGTAACATACTTCTTTCTATTCCCATAGAATTTACGTGCTTACGTCTATAAAGAAATGAAACAAGGAATACAACTGAGGTTGAACCCCATCTCAGCTGTAAATAACATTCATGTACTCTTGGACAAATGAACTAATTAGGTTAAGGAACATTCTAATAAAACAACTTTTAATCATCAGAATTAATATTTTCATTATATACCAATAATGATAACATTTGTTCTGGACCTAAATAACAGAAGAACTAAAAAAACTTCCATTTATATTTTTTGTTGACAAGAAGATAATGGGGTGAATGATGAATAGATTACGTTAAAAGATGTCAGGCATCCTAGATTACATTATGACAGGACTCTTGGCTGAAAGTGGTATGGAAATACAGAAGGAGAAAAGCCAATTTAAAATGTTCAACTATAAAAAACTAGCTCATTTATTTTTATAATGAATGAAGGGTGTCAAATTGTTGATATTTAAATGGTACTGGATATGTTTAAAATAGTGATATAACAGTTTTTATTTTAAAATAACAATATTTACACAACACCAGCAAATACATACTTTGTCAACTATTTAACTTCCCATGAAAATTTTTAGATGGCAACTTAGATGGGTGAGGGGATACATGATTTTTCAGAATACTTTTGGGGGCACATGAGCAGAATACTTTGTGGACCACTGTTTTTTAAAACACTATTATTTCTCCAAGTATGGTTGAGGGACAACTTACAGAATCACCTGGGAAGGGTGGCCAACTTTTAAAAAATGCACACTCCTGGGCCCCTTCCCCAAATTGGGTTATTGGGTTTGGGGTGGACCCCAAATAAATTTTCAACATGCATCCCAGGTGGCTCTCATGCAAACCGTTTAGGAAGCACTACTTAAAAAAATAAAAACTAGCATTTTACAGTATTGTAGCCATGGCTGGAGGTGGAAACAACCTCACATACATTTCTGGACTGAGGATAGAGAACTGAAATAAAAGCTAAACAGAAGCCGGAGCTCACAAAATAGCAGCACCCATGGAAGAGCCTAGAAGTAGGAAAGGGTCACCAGGGAAGTAAGGCACTTTCCCCGGAATTACTAGCACGGTCAAAGAGCAGAACAAGAATGGGGCTTAGGCAGGCTAAGCCCACTGTGGGCCCTCCACTGTGGTTGCACTTCAGAAGAAATCAGAAGAAAGTCTTTTTCCATCTTGAACCAGCCTGAGGAAAGTTCGTGTTTAGGAGGGTCGACCATCACACCAAAATAAAACATGCGCTAACAAAGCCGATTGCAAAGCAGGTGACAGGGCACACTGGGAAGCACTGCTGGAGAGGGTAGAGGGGTACTTGCCTGAAAATGCCCTTGGGACCCTCTGACAACACTGTTGGGATGGTTGAGGCACCTGTTTCCTTTCGGTCCCACCGGTGGCCTAAAGTGTGGTCACAGAGCACTTATCTTCTGCCTGCTCACTGGGTGGGGCTTCCCAGCATCTCTCTCTTCCTAGGATCACAGAAGAACTGCAGCTTTCTGGGGAGCAGTTTCACCTCCACAGGCATTGCTTCATACTCCTCACTGTCGATGCTAAAAGAGCCCCCGGCTCCCTGGGGAGAAGAGAATATTCAGAACAGCTCACACCCACATCGTGGCCTGCTTGAATTGGAAGTCTCTCAACAGCACCAGAAGAAGTTCATTATGGGAAAATATCCTCTCTTGAGCATTATCCTAATGTTCTTTTACAAAAAAAAAAAAAAAAAAAAACTTCAGTGCCTACTATGCTTGGCACAGTGCTGGTTCTGGAAACATCCTAATTCTACCATCCACCAGAAAGGATTTACTTCCTTTTTTTGCCTCCTATCTCCTTCCAGAGTATTTTGGGATTTGAACATGGTTATAATTTTCAAATATGTATTAAAAGGCAAGGGTCCTGACACATCTTTAAGGAATTCATAAACATAATATAGTCCTATATTATGCTAATCCTTCTCAAATAAAAAGACAGCTAATTCTCTTATGACAAGCTATTATATCTGCTGGATCATTTTCATTATTCTTTAAGACTTGCTTAGCTTTACACCTAAGGTATGTCAACATTAATATCATTACAGGATCTATGAAAGCCATGCATTTAATTCAATATTTGTATCAAAACTGATGCCAGTCGCTATGGGGATACCTTGTGTTTATAGTCTTGTCTGAATATAGTAATATAATGGCCACATGTCTTCAAAGGCTATCTGAAAGGGCTCCTTTTTTCCATATTGCCAGCTGAATAACCTAACAATTCAGATTCTATTTCCATATTTTTTTCACTTATATAGATTATTCTAAGCATGGCATTTCATAATACAGAAAAATTCAGTGTTAAACTAAAAACATTCCAGATCCTTTGTAAAAAATGTTAAAGTAAAAGCCACTATTAACATTTGCCAGCTAGACAATTCTCTGTACATCTTCATGTAGTAAACTTCTGCATTTTTTACATACAGAAAATAAAAGCTAGGAGACCTAAAAATCAAGAACCTTGGCTCAAAAATGATGGGAGTCTTAAGGAGTCCAACTCTAAATCCAAAGGAGATTCTGCCATCCTTTTCAAGTCCCCCCTAATATGAGCCAGAGCCTGGAAAAATGCTTGCCACATAATACTAAGTGTAGATCAGCTAACAGGAAGGAGGGGACAAACAGAGGGGCAGGCCGACGAAGAATGAATCAAACACTGTGGGACTACCGACCCCTTCCCCACTCACCTCGGGGACAAGCAAAGTGCACTGGCTGGCTTGGAGACACTCCGTGCCCTCAGCATGCAGCTTGGGGTTCCTCACCTTTCGACTTCTGTGGGCACAGGAAAAAGCAAGCTTGAGACCAGTGATGGCAACTGCATTAGGTTGCAACAATGTAGCAATTCTTTCCCCCTTTTTTATGAGGTAACATAAGTGGACAGATGGTCTATTAAGCCACAAAGTTCTGTAAATAATTTTCCCAGCAGTGATTCTTACTTAGTATTTTAATACATTCTAGACTGAATGTAGAGAACTGCATGAAGTTATGACTTTTCTGAATTGTTTTTAAATGATTCCACATGTACCTAATTATTAGACTGTTAGTCTCAAATTTAAAAATTAGAATGAAATAAACTTTAGGAAAGGTGCTAAACTTCTGGTATTTGGTACTTGTGATTACTTGAAGGAGAAAATATTTCTACTCTAATGTAGACAACTAGTCTTAAAAGTTCTCTGGTGACTTCCTATCTGGGTCCCACTCCTGTGGATTCAACCAACTGAGGATAGACAATACATATATATTTGCATCTGTACTGAAAATGTACAGACTATCTTATCCCCTAGACAATACAGTACAACTATTCACCTAGCATTTACATTGTATTGGGTATTATAAGTAATCTAGAGATGATTTAATATGCACAGGGAGGATGTACATAAGTCTCCGCAAATACCATGCTGCTATATAGAAAGGAATTGAGAATCTGGATTTTGGTATCTGAGGGAGGTCCTGGAACCAATCCCCCAAGGATACCGTGGGATGACTGTATTTATAACACAGTCTACTTGGCATACAATATCTACCTTGACTAAGTGACTATGGAGTAAAATTTCCAGCACATATACACACACTCCACCTCATGTAGATATACCTGTGATAGCTAGGCAGGGGAAATACAGTAAAAGCTAATCCAAGTCAATTAGTCCATTTATCATTCATTAACAACAGTAATCCTACAAAACTATCAGAGTTTTCTACACAGCTTCACAGTGTTCTCTTCAGATATCCAGAGGAAATAGACATTACTTGATTTCACTTCCTGTAGAGACTAGAAGGACACTGTGGCCGCTGCTGGTGCTAACAGTGCAGAACATAGTGGCTTTGCCTAACCTAAGCAATAGAATTAACTGGGGTCTCTACTTCTGGATACCAGTATTGTAAAGGAATCTGAATATTGCTGGTCTCACTGGCCAGACTGTCAATGAAGGTTGTGTGATTTCTGGACATTCTGCAGAAGAGGATTTTCCCCTTCTTTTTCCTATCAATACAGCAAGAAAATCAAAGGCTGCAGAATCAACTATTCAGCCTCTGAAGAATTTATGCAAGGGCGAGAAAAGCAAACTTATGTGCCTATGTAGATAATGAAGTAGCCATGGAGACCAGGCCGTTGCAGCAGAAATGTGTGATCCCTAAATGGGCACGAGAGGGAGCTCTGAGACAAAGCACAGAAAAGCGGAGCTGAGCAGATTACCAGTTGGCATGGGAACATGCCAGCTCCTCAGATGCTCTGAAGGCCGGTGGAGGATTTATAGTATTCTTAACCAATAAAATTCTGGCAGAGGTAGGACTTAACAAATCACAGGACTTGGAAGAGTATTCTGTACTGGAAAAAGGCCTGGGAAATGTCCAAGGTACTCAATATCTTTTCCAGTTTTTCATAAAGGCCCCAGAAATAGGAGGACATGGTGGACTAACATAAACAGTAATGGGTACTGTGAAGTACTTCACAATATAAAAAGACTTTACACGCATTCTCTTACTCAAGACTGAAAGTCAGTCCGGAGATCGGCAGAGATGATCGTGTTATTCTATTCTGTAGATGGGGAAAGTATTCAGAGATGCTAAATGATCCAACTCGTGACATCAGTAAGTGGCAGAATCGAAATCTGCATTCAGCTCTTTGACCCTGAAACCAAAGTTCCTGATGCTATGTCATGCTCCATTGAATTCTTAGGTTTCCATTGAAAAAGACTGCTCTTACATTCTGAGCCCCACAAAATGAACAGTGATGTCCAACATAGGAGAGGGGCGCTATACATGTCAGCCCATAGTAAAGAAATGACATAAAATTTCCCAAACGAGACAAGGCTTTGGCTGGACTCTCAGACTTCATGCACACTCTGAATAGTAACGTCTGAGAAAACCACAAGCCTCATTTCCCATGAACCCCAGTCCACTTACCCTATAGTTATAAAGTCTCCTTTGCTGATGGAGTCAGGTTCAATGCAGATGTTCATAAAATCTTCTTTGCTCTAAAAACGTTCAGAACATGAATGTCATTACTTTTTTTTTGAGACACAGTTTTCCTCTTGTTGTCCAGGCGTACAATGGCGCGATCTTGGCTCACCACAACCTCCACCTCTCGAGTTCACGCGATTCTCCTGCCTCAGCCTCCTGAGTAAGCTGGGATTACAGGCATGCACCACAGCTAATTTTTGTATTTTTAGTAGAGAGCAGATTTCTCCATTTTGGTCAGGCTGGTCTCGAACTCCTGACCTCAGGTGATCCGCCTGCATCAGCCTCCCAAAGTGCTGGGATTACAGCTTTGAGCCACCACGCCCAGCCGAATGTTATTACTCTTAAAATTTGGCTAATGCAGCCTGTTGCCATTCTCAGCTTTGACGGTTCATAGTTTGAAGCTATGCATAGTTAGGGGACTCTACTTGTAGTGACTTAATTTTAAACATATTTTCAGTCTTTTTTTTCCCAATAAGAGCTTTACTGAGGTATACTTTATAGAAAATTCATCTCCATTGCTTGGCTTTTTGTTACTATATATGCAAAAGAAAAACTCAGAGGGGGAGGTTCTGGAAGTTGTCACTCACTAGTACTCATGGCTGCTCTAGTCTCTAGGATTACTTCTCTTGCAGGCCAAGCTTTCAGCCCATCCCAGCAATCTCTGTTCTCTGTATGTCAGCTTCACATCAGAGCATGGAATCATCTGCTTGGCGTGGAGAGCCCAGGTGGTTGTGTTCCTTTAAATGCTCTACATGCAAATTTGGTGTGTAACCCAAGTTGAAAAACAGCAATCCATTTATTCTACGATAATGTTTAGAAACTTTGCATTTCCAGCCACAGAAAGCCCTGAATGATCTGAGCTACGACAAAATGGCTATAAAAACAGGCTTGGTTCTTAGACCACACCTCATAATTTGCTACCAGTCAGTGACTGGCCACACAAACCTGGCCTCTGCAAATCAGTCCCACAACTTCTGTGTCAGCTTCAATAGAGGTCTTGTTTCTTTTGGGGTAGTTCAAATCTGCAGGCCCAGGATAACCCACAGGCCTCTGGGAGCCTTAAAGCCTTTGCCTAAGATTAAACGGTAACTAACAACAACTCTCAACTAAGAATTACAGAACACAAAGTGGATGACTGAAAATTCACTTTTGTTCCACTACTTAGTGCCAGTCATGCAGCAGGAACTCACGGGGCTTGGGTTACGCCAGTGAACAAAACCCACATGAACTTCTGCCTACAAAGAACTTACTTTCTATTGTAGAGAGTGAAGGGAATAGATCAATCATAGTAAAGCAGTAAATTATAGACTGTGTTGGAAGATAAGGATACCACAAATAGATTGAGTATATTAGAAAATAAGACCAAAGAAGCAGAGCAGGGAACATGAGTGGCGCTGATGGCAGTGGCTGCATTATGGAAGGGGGTCCATGGAGAAGCCTGCGAGCAGAGGCCTGAAGGAAGTGAGGGAGTCAGCGATGTGGACATCCAGGGCAGTGGTTCTCAAACTTTAGCAAGTGTCACTGGAGAGCATGGTAACACTCAGAATCTGGTTTTTGTTCAACTAAAAATATATATATATATATGTTTTTTTTAAACTCAGACTCTGGCCCATCCCAAGTTTCCGGTTCAGTAGATCTGGGGTGAGGCCCATGAATTTTCATCTTGGGCAACTTTTACTTGATACTGATGTGCTGATCTAAGGACCAGACTTTGAGAACCCCTAATCCGGGGATAAGCAATCCACACAAGGGGAACTACTGGGGCAGAGGCCTTAGGGTGGTATCAGGGGAAATATCTGACAGGAGCAGGGAAGAGCAAGGAAGCCTGTGTGGCTGGAGCAGAGCAAGTGACAAGGACAAGAAGCGAGGAATACAGAGGGAAGAGAAGCTACATCAGCAGGACCTCATAGACCATGGCGAGGAAGCTGGCTTTTAGGCTGAAGCAGAGAGCCACTGGAGGGTTCTAAGGAGGGAAATATGTTCTGGCTTCATTTTAGCCAGAGGATCACTCTGGCTGCCATGTTGAGAATTAAGACAGGAGTAGTACTGGAGAGGGATACAGTGGGGTAGGAATTAACATTATAAAGAAATGTGTAGGAATGGCCCGGGGTTCAGGAGCTCCCAGGAGCAGTGATCTCTGGGCTGGGGGGTGAGTTAGAGAGGAGGAGGAAGAATGGGTTAAAGCAGTGATGACCAATCAGGAGGACAACCACCAAGTCACCAGGCCCAGTGTACAAGGGAGGAAAAAAAAGAAAACAGCTACCGCTTAAAGGCTGTGGGGAAGGCAGGGCCCAGGGGAGAGCCACACTGCAGCTAGAGCAGGGGTCAGGAAACATTCTGTCAAGAGCCAAAGAGCGAACACTGTAGGTTTGCAGACCATGAGGTCTCTCTCACAGCTACTCAGCTCAGCCATGGTGGCGTGAAAGCAGCCAGAGACAACACAAATGAATCAGCATGCTGTGTGCCAGTAAAATGTTACTTACAGACAGTGAAATTTGAAGACAATTTTCACATGTAAAAGAATAATACTATTTTTTTAATGATTTAAAAATGAAAAACACATTGTTAGCTTCAAAGCTGTACAAATATGGCAGCAGGATAGTCAGGCCTGTGGTTTGTCCTTTGCTGACCCCTGTTCTAAAGCTTTGTTCTGGAGGCGCAGTTCAGTAACTAGTTCTCTGGAAGTGAGCCTTTAGCTTTGTTAACGGTGAACAGGGCAGCCTTTAGAATTAATTTTGACTTACTAGTGAGGCAATAACTTTCTGAGGCCACTACCCATGTCTGAAGAGGATTTTCTACTTTAATTGGTTCAAACATGAACTATTCCTGGCTTTGTGAGAGGACTGACTCTCCTGAGACTGTCCCGCCTGCTCCTCATTGGTAACTCAACCTCCGGTCCTGGGTGGCGGTTTCTCACATGCATGCACCTGTCAATACTCAGCTGAAGATTCCAGAGAAAACCTCCATAAACCTCTAGTTCAGTTCTGGGTGCAGCTCTCCTCTCCATGTTGCTCTATTGTATTCTGCCTTACAATTCTAGCTGCCTTGATTTCCCAAAATTTTCAAAGGCCACCTCAACTGAGGGAGGCCATGGGATCTGTGTGGGCGCCCTCTCCGTAGGGTGTGGCCTCTCTCCAGCAGTCAGCTGGGGCAAGCATCAGGCTCACCATGTTTGATTCCCTGCTCTCTGGAATCATTGTCCAATGTCACTTGTTTTATACCAACGTCTGGCAACAGTTGTTCCATAGATTTTGTCCAATTTTTTTTTTTTTTTTTTTTTTTTTTTTAGACAGAGTCTTGCTCTGTCACCTGGGCTGGAGTGCAGTGGCACAATCTTGGCTCACTGCAACCTCCGCCTCCGGGTTCAAGTGATTCTCCTGCCTCAGGCTCCTCAGTAGCTGGGATTACAGGCGCATGTCACCACACCTGGCTAATTTTTGTATTTTTAGTAGAGACGGGGTTTCACCATGTTGTCAGGCTGGTCTCAAACTCCTGACCTCGTGATCTGCCCCCTCTGCTCCCCAAAGTGCTGATATTTCAGGAGTAAGCAACCACACCTGGCCGATTTTGTCAATTTTTAAGGTGTTTAAGGTATAAAGCTGGTGGTTTTTGCTCCATCTTGGCCAGAAGTCTCACATTAACAATCAAAAATCAATTCATTTTGTTGCTTTGACAGATTAAATGAGGAAACTTTATTATCTCAATAGATGCTAAAAGGGTACTTGATAAAATTAAATATTTAAGATATTTAACATGAAAGATAAAATTGCTTAGCAAACTGGGAATAGAAAGGAACTTCTTTAATCTGATAAAGGGTATCTATAAAAAAAGAAAACACATTAAATCCAAGAATGAAGCAATGAAGACTTTCTATATCAGAAATAAGAAAGACGACGGGGACTCCTGTTACTGCTACTTCTGTTCAACCTGTGCTGAGGTCCTAGCCAGTGCCCTAAGTAACGTGAAGAATTGTAAGGATAAGTATTTGAGAAAGAAAACAAAACTTGCACTATTTGCACTGGACATGACTAAATCTATAGAAAATTTGAAAGAATTCACTGAGAGAAAGTTAGAATAATAACAATTAGGTTGCTGATTCAGCATTAATATAAAAAATCAATTATATGTTCATCTACTAAATCAGATAGAAAATGAAATTTTAAGAGAGATTACTTAGAATAGGCCAAGTACGGTGGCTCACGCCTATAATCCCAGCACTTTGGGAGGCTGAGGCGGGCGGATCACCTGAGGTTTGGAGTTCAAGACCAGCTTGACCAACATGGAGAAACCCTATCTCTACTAAAAATACAAAATTAGCCAGGTGTGGTGGTGCATGCCTGTATTCCCAGCTACTCGGGAGGCTGAGGTAGGAGAAATGCTTGAATCCAGGAGGCAAAGGTTGCAGTGAGCTGAGATTGCACCATTGCACCCCAGCCTGGGCAACAAGAGTAAAACTCTGTCTCAAAAAAAGATATTTAGAATAGCATAAAAAATTAAGATAACTGGGAATATATCCAGTGAGATATAGATATATTGGACAGGCTATTCTAGAGAAAACTATAAAATTTCAAAGAACTACATAAATGAAGAGATATACCCCATTCATATGCTACAGGAGTCAGTACTGTAGAGATGTCATTTCTCTCCAAGTTGATCTATGGGTACAATGCAGTAAGATCAATATTATAACATTTTTACGTGGAATTTAATAAAATAAACATTCTAAAATATTTATGGAACTCAAATGAGCTAAGAATAGCCAAGAGACTGTTTTAAAAAAAGAGAAAAACATAGTGGAACTTATAAAACTATAATTAAGAGAAGCAGAGTATTAGTACAGGCATAAGAAAATAGAACAATAGAAGAAAGAGACCAGAAACATTTACACATATATAGACATGACGTACGGCAGGTTTATTGAAGATCAGTGGGGGGAAATGGACATTTCAATAAATGGTGCTTGGACAACTGGCTTTCTATTTGGAAAGAACATAAAGTTGGAGCTTGACCTCCATCAGTCATAAAACTCACTTATAGGTAGGTGGGAGTATTTCCTTTTTAAAGAAAAACGAAACTACACATTGCAAAGCTTTTCACCTATTTTTTTCCCATATCAATAGATAGAAAATAATACATATATAAAATAGATATGATTTTTAATAAATGTACCAAAATATATTCGGTCTGATTAGTTCACTGCAAATATTTTACTCTTATAAATCCAGTGAGCATAGTTGTGTAATTTTCACACATTCCACACTCCTACAGCTTCTTTCATACACTGAATGTGCTGCTTTTAATAAGTGAATATTTTGAGCTATTACATGGCAACTACACTGTCTTTAAATATTGTATTGCATTTGCTTTTATTTTTATAAAGAATTGTGCAAAAAAGAAACAAATGAATTTGCTGCTCCTAGTGATAAGAAGCACAGTATCATATACTTTTATAATAGGCACAAAGATAAAAAGCACTTGGCACTGTGAATGTGGCTAATCTTGAGCGCAGTCACATACTCACTGAACTCAATCCATTTATTGGTACTCAGTCATTAGAGAAAAGAACAATAGTAAAGAACATGAACAAAATGCTCGCAATACATATTATAAAGAAGATGTATAATTAGAAATTTTCTCTGGAACAGAATCTCTTTTTTTTTTTTTTTTTTTTTTAGCATTCATATATCCACTTTCACCAATGTTTTCAGATTTCCATTATGTAAAAAAGGACTGCCTACATTATATATTCATCAGATTATTTCAGTAGGATAAATTCCTGGAAATACAGTTAATGGGGCAAAAGGTATGCATATATTTTAGACACTTAATACATACTACACCAAGTTGCTGAGACAGGATGTTCCAATTTATAGTCCCAGCAGAAACATATACCACCACTAAGCTTTTAATCTATAACATGCTTTTTAGTCATAATTCAATGTTATTATTTAAATTTGCACTTCTTTGAAGAAATCACCTTTTCTGTCTCCTTACCTATAAAATACAGATAAAGATCTACCTAATAGTGTAACTATGAGGATTACATAATATTATGTAAAATTCTTAGGACAGTGCCTAGCATGCAGTAGTCAGCAAATATAAGCTATTTTCTCATATGCTTATTTCTTTTATGCATTTTCTATTGTTACCCTTTGCTCACTTTTTATATTAGTCCTTTGCCCATTTCTTATTGCTTTAACCTAAGAGCTTGTTATAAAGAAAGTGAATTCCTGGTTTATCACACGCTAATATTTTTCCCAATATGTAATTTAAAAGTTTGTTTAGAATGTCTTTTTAAATAAAAAGACAAATGCATCAGTATGATTTCTGCCTTAGATGTCATGCTTAGAAAGGCCTTGTCCTCCTTAAGTTTATACTGATAATCACTTAGATTTTATCCTAATACTTTTTTAAAATTTCAAACTTTTATTTTAAGTTCACATATGTAGGATGTGCGGCCATGTTACATAGGTATAAACATGTGCATTTACCCTAATACTTTAATGATTTTATTATTTTATATTTAGTTCTTTAATCAAACTAGAATTTTTTTACAGGGTGAAAGGAACTATGTTTTCCAAATGTTTTTCAATGGACATATATTACTTTTAAAATTAGAAAACAACTAAATCCTCTGAATATTAATATTAGAATCAAACTTCTCATTATATTAATACTGGAATCAATCTTATCACTTTATTCCAACTCCATCTGCTAATTTTCAGACTGGCCTAGACAACTGTGAACAGACTACTTTGATCTGCATAAAAGCTGAATGTAATTAGTCCACAGTTAACAGTTACTTTCCTATTGGCATTCCCATTAATATAAATTACCAAGGTTTTTATTATACCAGGGTCAGTAAACTTTTTCTGTAAGTGACCAGCTAATAAACATTTTAGTCTTTTGGGCCATACAATCCATCAAAACTACTCAGCTCTGCCCCTGTAGCACAAAAGCTGCCACAGACAATATATTTGTGAATGAATATGGCTGTGCTCCAATAAAACTTAAAATCCAATTTATGGATACTGAAATTTGAATTTTACATATTTTTCTGTTCACAAAAACTATTCTTTTGATTTTCTTTGCATCATTGAAAATTAGAAGATTCTTAGTTTCTGGGCTATACAAAAACAGGTACCAGACCAGTTTGCCAATGCCTGCTTCATTTCAACACTTTTTGGTGTATTGTTATGGCGGTACCACCCAACAGAATTTTCTGCGCTGATGGACAGGTTGTATACCTGTGATTTCCAGTACAGTGGCTACTAGCCACATGTGGCTGATGAGCACCTGAAATGTGGCAAGTGTGACTCAGGAACTAAGTTTTACTTTTATTTAATTTTAATTAATTTAAATGTAACTGGCCATGTGGCTAACAGCTACCATATGGGATAGTGCATACCTACAGATTGGACCTAAATAGAATCATATGTAGATATAGATACAGATGTATGTGTGTGGCTGTTTTTCTTCTGAGGATCTAAGTTGACATAATTAATATAGTCACAAAAATAATAGCTATTTACTCAAGTAAAAGCTCCACAGATTTTTTCCAGTGACAAATGGGCATAGTTAATTTTCATTTTTAAAGCCCTCTTACCCTAAGTTCTCTGAAAACCAATTAAGCAATGAGCAGAATATGTGATCACAGCCCCAGAAGCATTTATGCCACTCCCACAGGTGGTAGCTTCTCCCATTGCTGTTATTCCCTAAAAGCACACCATGGCCTTTCTCCTGCTATCTCCACAGGGTAAAAAAAAATAAAATAAAATAACGGAATTAGTGGGAGAGGACTATAGCTATTGTCACTTTTCCTAGTTACCAAATGCTTTTCTAATAAAAAAGCACACTTACCGTCAGGTCAAGCTGATTGTTCCGTGTTGTGATGGACAGTTCAATTGTGGACAGCTGCACATCTTTCCAGACCTCTGGGCTCACCTCTTGGGAAAGGGCTGTGGGAATCCATTAGATACAGGTCAGTTTCTTCCATTAACATTTCACCACCCACCACAGACGGCTAGTTGCTAGCTGCTCAGCTCAGCTTCTCAAGCCTTTCTGCTGACTCTTCGCCTTTATTTGTTTCATGCCTCTTATACATAGAGGTAAAAATGGCACCTCTGTGCCTAAAACATCACTACCAAAAGCAGTCACATGAACAGAAAGACTGTGCATTGAGACTGCTATGCCCATTGATGGGACACTACTTGGGCCTGCTCTGGTGGCACACAGAAGGATGAATTCAACGATCCCTGGAAGGCTTCTCCTGCTCTAGTTAAGTCTCTAAACCTGATTTTGGAGATCTACTGTAGGGCACTCCTAAACTGACCAGGGCCCTCCAATCTTCAGTCGCCACATTGCTCACCATCCTGTGGTTGTGCCCAGAAGGATGCAAGCCTTCGTAATATTCTCCTGTACAAAGAAGGCCTTTGTACAGGTGTCTCCTCTGGTTCACTGGGAGGTCTCTCTGTAGGTCCCGTGTACGAGATAGAGGCTTGATGAGTCTGAGGCCACTCCTTTTAATGTTGAAAGAGAAAAATTTTGTCATGCATCTACAGTTCCACTCTGGGAGTTTCTCTCTGCAAAGGTTATTTTTCTACCTATACGTGCTAGAAAGCGAACTAATAATCTCCTTTCCCTGGATGGAATACTCTCTAATTTGGAGCATGGAATCCTTAAGTTTTCTTTTCCTCTTAAAGCTAGATCTTAAAAACCATGAATTCAGCAAGTACTGCCTACACTGCTCCCCCTAACATGGACTAACAACCACCATTTACACTTGTCCAAAAGGAGGATGAATGAACACAGGGTCACCAGTAATAAATTTATCTTTGGCTTACAGATGGTGATGAAAAATGAAACTGATGAAATCCAGCTGCATCAAGTACTTACCTCACTTCTGGAATCTTATTCCACACGCAGGCCAGAATGGTTTACCCCAGGCTCACAATCCAGTCTGAGGCTTCTCACTTCTGCTTCAAAGCCCATCATCCTCACGCTCTAATTTTTTTTTTGGTCTTCTATGTCCTGGCATCCCAAGTCCAGTGTCATCCTGGATGACATCCTGACCACATGAATAATTAAAACCATACCCTAGCCTCTCAGCCCTTGACATCACCTGCAATTCGCCATATCCATCTATTTCCATGGCCACATCCTGGCCCCTAATGTCACCCAGAACTATTCCACTTTGGAAATCTAAAATTCTGAGATCCTACTCTCTAATCACATCCCATACTCTTGCGGTTGATTCTTTTATGTCCATTGTGTGTCTCAGGGTGAAATGCTTCCCTGTTCTCAAGTTTCCATGTGGTGAATTACAAAACAGTAGCAATACTGGCTTCTCTCACTCCACCACTTACTCACTCCTCCCCAAGTCTAGAAGGACCGGTGCATGGATCCAGCCCCTTCCTTTCTCTCTGACAGCGGCTATCTTTGCTTCAGGTATTCACTGTTTCTTCATGCAGTAAGCTTACTGTACTGGTCTCTGCCCTGAAGAAGCTGTTTCAACTGGATACATTCAGTTCAAAGAATTAGGAGATCAGATAGAGACCACATATCTGTGCTCTGTCCTCCATTCCTGCTGACACTTACAAAGTTGATGTTTTGATCTCTATCTGCCTAGTTCCTGCATTTGTTTTCATACCTTGGTTCAAACTAAAAAGAAGAAGAGAGGGGTTTTACTGTGGCCCCTGAAGACCTAACTGCACCAAGTTTTCAATCACATTGAGGATTCTACTCCCTGCCCACTCATTTTCCCTCAGTGCCAAATTGATAGTCAATTACTCTAACTCGTTTTCTTTTTCCACTTACTCTTGGCCCTCCTACGTCTTTATTCTTCTATAATAATAAATCCTAAAAAGCCCCAATTATGGATCAGCCTTATCACTAAGTTCCTGTACTCTTACATCACGGCTCAGTATTTCTAGAGGAGAAAATGATACTCCTGCTGAGTATTAATACAGGGAAAAGCAGTCACCCAAAGGAGCATTAGTATCTTCAAATTGTTAACTGTTCATCCTAAGCCACCTCCTACTTTCATCTTCCTTCAGAGTCCCCCATACCACCACCCACTGCCTTTCTGACAGGATCACTTTGCTTCCTGTGCTTCAGTGAGAATATCAGGGATGTCAGTGAGAATACCTGAACCTTCTCTAATCTCATTTTCATCTGGACCTATCCTTTACTCCTCTCCTGTATCAATGCAAAAATAGGTCCCTTCTCCTGTCCAGGTACAATCCAGTACTCTGGATCCCATGCCCTTCTACCCGCTCCTGGATTTTGCCAATTCAGTCATGCTTTCTATCTCCTTTCTCCTCACCACTTCCTGTTCTGTCCTTTTGCTTCAGGCTAGAAACACATGGATGTTCTCCACTTTTTTTTTTTTTTTTTTTTTGCCAATCAGTGTGAGCTTGTAAGGTTGCTCAGGTTAGCCTTGAATTCATGACCTCGCCTTCGCAAGCACCACGACATCCGGATGTTCTCCACTTTTAAAAACTCCACATTGACCCCATGTTTCTCTCAGTTTTGCCTTCCCTATCTCCTCTTCAAAGTCAGGTTTCTTGAAGGAGTAGCTTGGTCTTGCCGTCTCCACTTCTTTACATCACTTTTATGTCTTTGACTTTCTTCAACCTGGCTTCAGTCCCCACACTTTGGAGGCTGCCCAGCTTTTGGAGGCTGCCAAATTCAATGGATACTCCTCTTGTCTGTATATTTAAAGTCTTTGCTTTTGCTTCTTGAAACTCTTGTATTTTTCTTGAAATTTTCTCTTCTGTTGGCTTCCATATTAGTACTCTCACCTGCACTTTCTCTCAGCACTTCTCAGTCATTTTTAGTGGTTCTTTAAATGTTTATGACCCTTAGGGATATTCCTGGCCATCTGTACTCAATGGCAATTTCACCAAACCCAAACCCATGGTTTCAACACCACTCACACATTTATGACATCTGAATCTATTTCTTCTTCTTCTTCTTCTTTTGTTTTTTTTTTTTTTGACAGTCTTGTTCTGTCACCCAGGCTGCAATACAGTGGCGTGATCGCCGCTCACCACAACCTCCACCTCCTGGGTTCAAGTGATTCTCCTGCCTCAGCCTCCCGAGTAGCTGAGATTACAGGCACGCACCACCACGCCCCGCTAATTTTTTGTATTTTTAGTAGAGACGGGGTTTAACCATGTTGGCCAGGCTGGTCTCGAACTCCTAACCTCGTGATCTGCCTGCCTCAGCCTCCCAAAGTGCTGGGATTACAGGCGTGAACTACTACATCAAGCCCTGCATTTGTTTCTATAGTCCAGACCTCTCTGCTGAATTCCAGACCTAAATCACAATTGTATCTTTGCTTGTCTGTACCACAGGTATGTTAAACTCAACAGATTAAATTGAAAATTTCATCTCTGTTAACAAACTTGATTTACACTAGTATTATCAACGTCAGTGGAAAACTCCAGTTACCAAACCGTAGTCCCTCATACCAGAAATATAATAATCCTATATTCTTCTGACTTTTGAGGTTCTAATTTAATAGCTCTTTAATCTATCTTCTATTGTCAATGGTCCCTGTTACTTCCTTAGTCTATATGTCACTTCCCACCTGACTACTTTAACAATCTTCTATCTAATGTCCTTGCCTTGAGCTACCCATGTCCTATCTGTTTTTCTGTTTAGAAAAAAACAATTTTTCTAAAATGCAAATCTGCTCCTGTCGTGCCTCTGCTTAAGACTCAGTAACTCCCCATCACTTTCAGGATAAAAGTCAAATTGCATATCAAAACCTGCCATAACCTGCCCTTACCTAACCCACTGGCTTCACTTCCTGCCATTTTACTGCATTAATCTTAATTAAGGGCCATGTCACACCACTGTGACTTCACACAGCATATTAAATGTCTCAAAATTTAGTGTAAGTGTCACCTCCCTTGGGAAGAGTTTCTGACCTTCATTAGTTTTAGATGCACCTCCCCTCTGCCCCATCTAACTGCTGATTTACTTTGCCTCCCTCCCAGCACATGAATACTTCTTGAGGGTAGGAAACCTGTCTCATTTGACTTTGCATCCCAAGCATACATCAACAATTGTTTGCTGAATAAATGGTGGAAACAGTTTACATTCTCTCAGACTACCATTTAAATATGTAGCTACTCTGTTTCTTCCAAAATGCACTCACAACTTCACCAGTGAAATTATTCCCTTGAGGAATAACACATTTTATTAATCCCATTTGCCTTTGGTATATAAAGACCTTGCCCTCCCAAGTTCATTTTAAAATCATATACATTTAATTCTAGTACTTTAGTGATTTCAGTGTTTTACATTTAATTTTTTAATCCAGCTAGAATTTTTTTTTGAAAGGTAAAGCTATGTTTTCCAAATGTTTTGCTATGAACATATATTACTTTTATAATTAGAAAAATACTCAATAACTCTGAATATTAACATTGGAACCAAACTTCTCACTATATTCAGACCCCATCTGCCAATTTTCAGATTGGCCGGCCAAACTGAATATACCACTTTGATTTGCATAAAAGCTGAACATAGTCTGTAGTCCACAGTTAAAGATGACTTTTCTATTGCATTTTCACTAATAAACGTCGTTAGGCTAGTCTCTATGCCAGTATTTTTAATTGTATAGTAGAGTAGCAATGCCCAACAGAATTTTTTTTGATAATGAACATGTTTCATATCTATACTCTTCAATGCGGTAACCGCCACCCATATTTAGCTAGTATAGTTTGAAACCTACTGATATAAACACAAACCTGTACAATTAGATATTATATATTCAGATACAAATCTTCCATTCATTTCCAGGTACTAATATAGATAATCATAACAAATAATTGGTGAGACATATGTCATTAGGTTAAAGTTTGTCTGGCAAGAGAGTGAATTAATGGCAAAGGGAATTAGAATGCTAAAGAAAAATTAAATATGGGTTTGCTAGTGGAGGAAATGAGTTGGTAGATGACAGGTGATTCCTTATCAAAACAGGAACGCTTTCTGTATTTTTATTTAATCAAACATGCCCCGTTTTAGTGTTGAAGCATGTCACATTCATCTCTAGCAAAAAAATAAAAAATATACCAAATACACTTATCACAGAGAAACAACAAAATAACACGGCACATTTCTACACCGTAAATCACATTTACCTTAAGAGTGCTGAAAAAGTGGGCTGCTTTGGTTTTTAGAGGACCAAGATACCAGTACCTGTGAAAAGACAGAGGTAAAAATCAGATAAGAATGTTAAAAGAACCATCATGTGACAGACCATTCATGGCAGACAATACATTAGAATTCCATCTCTGCTATGAGTGGCTATTCTGGTAGCTAGGAGATTATGGCTTAGTATAAAAGAGTATTACATTCAATTTTAAATCCACATTTTGATGCCTTGTCAAGCTATAGGTAATTAGTTATACAGTAAAGATTCCTGCAATTTATGAGAGATATAGAACCAGGCTCCTTGAGTCACTAAATTCACAACATTCTTTAAACCATAAAATACGGTTCCGTATAGAGTTGTCCCTCAGTCCAAAGTCTGCAGATGTTCAAGTCCCTGATATAAAATGGCACATTTGCACATAACCTGTGTACATTCTCTTGTATATTTTAAATCATCTCTACATTGCTTATACCACTTAATACAATGCCTACACGTCACTATTTTCATGGATTCAACACAGTACTCGGCGTGCAGCAAATTCAAGTTTTGCTTTTTGTAACTCTGTGGAATTTTTTTCCCAAAATATTTGCTAGCTGCATTTGTTTGCATCTATGGATACAACGGGCTAACTGTACCTTCAAACGAGCAATGAGTAAAGGATGATAAAGCCACACTAAGATGCAAACACCGCATGCTCTGATGTGCTGATCCCAAGCTGAATGTACACCATGTCCTCACACACACAAATGCACATACACACACTTAGTTAAAATGTGTAAACCAGCATGATTTCACATTATTCATTTTGTACAGCTTTAAAATGGCAAATGTTAAATCTGGGAATAAAGAGAATCTATCTATTGCATATTGCTAAATACGTAAAAGCTACTGGAGAGAGGAAGACACCTAATTGGAATTAGAAAATGGCATAAAGTAGATTCTTCTCTTAAAACTTGTCTCTGTTAACAAATCACTCAACGTTGACTGCTCTCTATTGATTCTGATCATATACCTTTATTTAGCACCTACCATGAATGAGGAGGAAATGAAAGAAATATGAAATATAAACTTCCCACCTTTGAGAGCCTACGATTTGAGAAAATAAGGCCTGAATAAGTAAAAGAAAAACAAAGAAAAGCATAACCTGATCACTACTTATTGGTAAGGGGAATCAAAAAGAGACAAAAAATCATTAAGGGTCTAAAATCCTTGGAGAAGCCATGCTTATAAAATGAAGGGCACAGAATAAAGTCAGGGCACAAAACTTAGAGTATGGGAAATAGGATAACAGCCAGAGAAAGAGGGAAAAGCTTAGAAGTAAAGATGCATAATTGCATAATTAGGGGTGATGACAGATAAGTTGGGCCTGGAATATCAGAAAAAGAGTTTAGATGTAATCCAAGAGGGAATGCAGAATCTTTCTAAATGATTATTTAGGCTAATACTGTGCTACAACTAATGAGGACTTTGATCATCTGATTTTTTGTGTTACTGTTTTTTAAAATTTACTTTAAATTTGCTGCTTTTCCTAGTTAGCCAAGTAGAAGATCATCTCAACTCAGGCAATTACCTTGTAAATTTTCCTCAGTTCCCTTCATCTCTACCAATAGTAAAATTTGCCACTGTCCTTGTAGTCTTCCTATAGCCAGCTAGGAAATGGCTTCTCATATCTCTACATTGCTTTCTTAATACAAAGAGCAACGCTGTGAATGGGCCTAGCCAAGGTAGTACATGATAACAATCAGAATTTTTAAATTCTTGTTCAGAAACCAATCGAGATATGGGGCAAGTATATAAAATAGTCCTCCAAGCGCTGACCTGTATTGTGTTTTATTGCTGCTTGACACAGTGTGGAAAGCAGTTTGTCCTAACCAGACTTTTTTAGGGAAAGCTAAGCAGTTCCTCTTGGTGAGCTGCTGGAATCTGAGATATCAGTTCAAACCCAAGGTAACTGTGGAATCCCATAATCATGGCACACTTGCACATAAAAAGATGTGAAATACTTAAGAATGCAATGTATAATATAACATGGTAATATCTCTCTGACATTCCACTGTCAGGAATTTCGTTAGTAAGAATAATAAAGTGAACAAAGTGAGAGGAATTTCTGCTAAAGCTGGCCTGTGAAGTGAAAGCAGTTTCTTGAGAGCTACATGTGAGATCGGTCACAATTCATTTAAACCATACTCAAACTGTAAGCCCTCGACTTTAAGAAAAGGTAAAGAGAAAATGCCACCCACGAGGTATGAAGCGAATCTCATGCGGTGTCCCCTCCAGTCCTCCTCAGCAAGCCCTTGCCTACTTTACCTCTCCACAGCAACTGGAACATGACACACCCTCTCTCCAAGACCAGACTTTCATTGTGCACAATGGATTCTCCAAAAATAAGTCAATTCCCATGAAAAGCCAGTGCCGGCCCTCTAATCAGCTCCTCGACAGGCCCGTTTCTCCCGTCTCACAGCACAGTCAGGCGCCGCCTTTATTCCTTCTCTAAGAGCGGCGGCCTGTGGTCTGCCAATCTGTGAGGCCTTCACAAAAACGCCTCTCAGGAAAGTCATCCGATTGCAACAGCTCCATAAGGCTGTAGCCCAGGCAGTGCCTTCCACTTGGTACCCAGCTAAGCAGCTGCAGGCTGACATGCAATCCAGTTCTTCCTGTACCCTAGCTTGAGCCTAACCTATGCTCCACCACTGTGTCTAAAAATAGAGACATACCCTTCTCCTCTTCAGCTACCGCCCAGCTAGTGTCGAGGAAACTGCAACTTTCCCCAGCCTTTCTGCATATGGGACTGTTCCTACCTCCACTATTCACACATAGTTCAACCTCCACACCCCCAATTTTATTCCCAGGTCACTGTGAGTTAAAACCTGAAAGGCAGGGACAGAATAAGATTGTTTTAGAAAGCATCGCACATTGATATAGCAATCCTTTACTTGCTAACTTTGACGCCAGCATCTCTGAAGGATCCCCATCGAAGGCCGGTCATTGCAAACACAGGCTGTTCCTTTTCACCCTGGAGGTTAAATACATTTCGTTTAAATTCATGATTACAGTCACTCACTGGGGATTCTTTACATGTAAGTACTCAGCAAATGTTCATGACCTACTTTTCATCAAACCAAAATTCTAAAAAAGTATGCTCCAACTTTAAAGATATTAACCCTGTGAGTGGTCAGTAAAAGTACTTACATAAGTCACACGGTAATATGAAGCTAATTTTTTTTTTTTTTTTTTTTCTGAGACAGAGTCTTGCTCTGTTGCCAGGCTGGAGCGCAGTGGCAGTCTCGGCTCACTGCCACCTTCGCCTCCCGGGTTCAAGTGATCCTTCTGCCACCGCCTCCCGAGTAGCTGGGACTACAGGCATGTGCCACTACGCCTGGCTAATTTTTGTAGTTTTAGTAGAGATGGGGTTTCACCATGTTGGCCAGGATGGTCTGATCTCTTGACCTCGTGATCCACCCGCCTCAGCCTCCCAAAGTGCTGGGATTACAGGCGTGAGCCACCGCGCCGGGCCTATGAAGCTAATTTTTACATATTAGGTTTCATGAATCTGCTGGCGGGGGAACATACTGTCATACTTTGGACTGTACATTAGGGAGTACCTAACTGTGTTGCTTCAGGTCAGCTAAAATTTCTTTTATTTCATGTACTTGTCCAAGGCAAAGATAATTTAAGCCTGCATTCTCCTTATAGGATCAAGAGCTCTTAAGTCAGATCAGAATCCTGGTCCTCTAGAATGTTTCACCTGAATATCTGAAAATACAGTCAAAAATGTGTTACAAAAAGTCAAAACAAAAAGTGATTTGGATTTAGTCCAATGTTTTATGGCCAAATATTGCATATTTTAATCAGTGAGTTTCTAATATATCAGTGAATTAAACAATATAGAGAAAAAATATACAATACAGCCAATGTCCCTAAGAGTTTATGCTCCACACTGACCCTTCCTTTAACTGATAAATAATCTAAGTACCAGGATTCTAAATGGAATTTTTCCTGTAGCTCAGAATTTCATCTAAAGTCTAAACGCTGAAAACTGACAGGCACCCAGGCGCCCCCCCGCACCCACCCGACATTCCCCAGTTTAAAGAGAGCTACCAAATACTACCTAAGACTCCACAGAAGTTGCTAAAAGCGGGCAGAACCAGCTTGATTCCTCCCACAGCCAGTACAAGCAGAAGAGTAGGAACTGGAGGCAAATCCTGGCAGTGCAAGTCGCTGCCTGGAGAAAGCATGCAGTCTTCTCCGCAAGGGAAAGAGTGCTTCCCTCAGTACGACCTTCACTTCCGTTTCCACTAGCCAAAAGCAAGTCACCTGCTTTGGAATGATGAGAATCAGAGAAATTTCTAGGAGAACCAAACACAGTAAGAGAAGCCTGCAAGGAAGGGACACTGGCCTCTCATCCCTTTATCTAGTATCTGCTCGTGCAGTAGACTTGCATTTTCACTCTCTATACCTGCTCTAGCAAGGGACAAGGGAACCAGAGAGAAATGACGGAGAACAAAGGAGAAGGTGCAGCAACTCACTGGCTGGTACAGCAAGGACATAGTAGTTTTCTGGGTGCCTAGTGGAGACTGGGGAATATAGCATGGCTTTGAGTCGTCTTGACAGTTCTCCATCTAAGATCCTAGCCCAGGGGTGATAGTACCCAAGCAGTCAGAAGCTGTGGAGAGAGCCAAGCCTGGATGTTCTCTACAGGAAGCTGAAAGAAGTGGAGCTAGAACAGACCTCTAACATCAGAAAACTATGTATGCCGTGGGGAGGAAGCCCAAAGAATTCACACTGGACTGTGCTTGGCCTTGAAGGCCTTTGAATGACTTCGGTGTTATTCAGAGATGCGAAGCTGTTGAAGGGCTCTGGGCAGAGAAGCGCCGTGCTCTAACTTCCGACCATACACTGGCTGTTGTGCTGCCCACAGACTGTAGGGAGGCAAGGGCAGCGGGAATGATAAGAGCTAGAGGACTCCTGCAATGATCCAGACAAAAGATGAAGCAGCTGGAACCAGAGTTCCAGAATAGAGGCAAGAAACAAAGCTTGATTTTGGACATATTTTGGAGATAATAGAAACAATATAATTTCTTGACTGACTGGGGGAGTCAAATATGACTCTGGAATTTTGGGGTATAGTAAGTGATGATTTTATCAAAGTATAAGTGATCATTTAAAGACTGTATTATTTTTGGCTGGGCACGGTGGCTCATGCCTGTAATCCCAGCACTTTGGGAAGCCAAGGCGGGTGGATCACGATGTCAGGAGTTCAAGACCAGAGTGGCCAACACGGTGAAACCCTGTCTCTACTAAAAAAATACAAAAGTTAGCTGGGCATGGTGGCTCATGCCTGTAATCCCAGCTACTTGAGAGGCCGAGATAGGAGAACTGCTTGAACTGTAAGGAGGTTGCAGTGAGCCGAGATTGCGCCACTGCACTCCAGCCTATGCTACAAAGCGAGATGTCATCTCAAAAAAACAAAATAAATAAAGACTGTATTATTTCTTAGGAATGTTACATGCTGATCACTAAAGATTTATAAAATGGTATAATAACGTAGAACAATTATTTTGAAGTAAGAATCCTCACAGAATACCTAAGTGATCCTAGGCAGGTCACTTAACTTTTGAACATTGGCTTCTGCCTCTGAAAACAGGGTCATCTTTTGCTTAAAACTAAAACTTCTCTACATTATCTCCTATGAGTGTATAAAGGGCTATCACCACTGTATCCTCCCCTGCTAGCAGTGAGTGACCAATAGTAAATAGAATTTATAATAAATATAATTTTAAAATTACTATTTTTAATCATAAAATGAGGCGACAGAATAATCTCATAAAGCTTTTATATCAGCCAAAAATATCCCTACTCTCACTGGAATTTCACAAACGTCACCTCTCATGTACCTGAAGACAGGTAAGTTTTTACTCATCCACTCAATATTGCTGGAACCCCGACTCAGCCAAGCATGGTGCTGGGAGTTGAGGACGCACAGGTGAACAGGCTAACATACTCCCTGCCTCCAAGTGCTTACATTCCCTCCCTAGCCTTTATGCTCTCCAAGCTAAATGTCTAGTCTTTCCATTGTTCTGCTATGATTTTACAGCCTCATTATCTTGTTTACTCAACCCCCTCTGATGTTTGTCCCTCTTAATTCTATGATCTAGAACTGAATCTCAATATTATCTAAATTAAATCCCACTTAATGCCTTCACCTTAACAAAACTGCTAAGTAAGTATAATAGTGTGATAAGTTTTTATACACCAGGCTTCTGATTTATATTGAGATACCTAGAGTATTAGGGAAGTAGGTACAACTGTACAATGCGGGGGGGCAGCTAAGGAGATGGATGGTCAAGGAAAACATAATATAAATTTTAAAACAAAACATGAGTTATTTTTAATTGATAAATCACACTTGTATATGTTTATGGGGTACAATGTGATTTACATGTGTATGAAATGTGGGATGATTAAATCAAGCTGATTAAATATTCATCACCGAATTTACTTATCTTTTTTGTGGATAAGTAAATTAGGTGATGAATATTTTTTTGAGACTTTTGAAGTTTATTCTTTTAGTTATGTTAAAACATACATTATTATCTACTATAGTCACCCTGCTGTGCAATAGATCTCAAAACTTCTTCCTGCTATCTAACTGCAACTTTGTACTATTTGGCCAGCATTTAAAAAGCAAGGTACCCAGATTAGGGGAAGCTGGAAAGCTCTGGAAAGAAGAGAAAGGAGAGAAGAAGGTGATTCTAGCCTAAGGGAGAGAAACAACAGTATGTGTCCATAGCAGCATTTCCTCAAATGTCATAACTTGTTAACAACTGTTATGTCTGAGGATGTGGCTGCTGCTGCTACTGCTGCTGCTGACAGAAGATTCCATGGTGAAATAATCTGGAAATAATCTGGAAAATACCAAACTTACTTGGTTTGAAGCAAGTTATGTTTACTGCAGTTCTTAGAGTCTTTAATATGTTGTTTTGTTTTGTTTTTTTGAGACGGAGTTTCACTCTTGTTAACCCAGGCTGGAGTGCAATGGCGTGATCTCGGCTCACCGCAACCTCTGCCTTCTGGGTTCAGGCAATTCTCCTGCCTCAGCCTCCTGAGTAGCTGGGATTACAGGCACGCGCCACCTGTAATGCCCAGCTAATTTTCTGTATTTTTAGTAGAGACGGGGTTTCACCATGTTGACCAGGATGGTCTCAATCTCTTGACCTCGTGATCCACCCGCCTCGGCCTCCCAAAGTGTTGGGACTACAGGTGTGAGCCACTGCGCCCAGCCTGAGTCTTTAACATGTTAATGTACATTATGTATTTCCAAAAGAGGAAGCATAATATACAGCCTTCCTGAGATGTTAATTATGCACCCCTTCTCTGGGAGGACATTTTTGTGTAATTAATATTTCTTGATAAATGCTATTTTAAAGCATGTAGTATAGGCAAGACGTGCTGAGATAAGTACTTGAGGCTTGCTGGCTGATCCTCTAACCCTGTTTTCTCTTTCTTCATCTCAGGGGAAGAATTTTAGGAATATTCTGTTAGAATTAAATAAAAAGCCTTGTCATCTCAAAGTTCCACTGATGTGGAATGCTATGTCCTACCAAAAGGTGGGAATGGCTGTGGACAACAGGAAATGAACAATCACGGCAGAATATGTGTGAGCAGATCTAGAAAATAATTAGTATTCCAGATAGGCATAGGGCTGTCAGGATTCAGAAGAGCCCTGAGGACCAGTCATGGAGAGACTAGTCCCTGTTGGGGTATAGATGAACACAGAAAAAATAAGGAAGGTCAGATGACAGACAAAGTAGAAGCCAATAACAGACAAAGTACCACTGTATCTGAACCCACTGAAGGTCTGGGTAGATGGTCAGGTTATAAGATAGATGGGTCGGTAAACAAAACAAAACAAAAAAAGAGAAAGACAAGCACATGGCCACATCTTCACAGCAAAGGAGATGTGCTGCCCCAATTCACAGATTCCCCTAGAAAGAGTAAATCCCTGGGAGAAAATGACCTAGGGTTTGTGGAAGAAAATAACTGAGTGAGCTGGATGAAATAAACACGTAAAGAACACTGAAAAGAAAGCAAGTCCTACAAACCAGATAGATGCCTAATCTAGAAATTTCAGATTCTAGATCAGGAAGAAACAAAGTAGAAGGCGCTCTAAAGCAGTTCTGAAGCAGCTTCAAGCATCATCTAAAGAGTATGATCAGAGCCACGGTCTAAAAAGGAGTCCATGTAATTAGCCAGGAATGACAAATAGGGAAAAGGGAAAGGTTCTAACTCCCCATGAACTCCCCTCTATGCCTTATTTGGTTCTGGGTTGGCAGAGTCTTAAAGAGTCTAGATGAAAAAACAGAAAGAAAAAGCTAGAAAGAATTCCATAAACCTCCCCAGTAACTACTCTAAAGTCAAGTATCAGGCATTACAGGTGTCTGTTTATATGGGAAAACTGCTCTTCAGAAATTACGGAATGGTGCCAACTATAATGCCACCTGGACAAAGCAGTTAAGTGGAAAAACCAACAGACCATGAGAAAGAAAATCTGAATTCCAGTTACATCTCCGGCACAACTAGTCATAATCAAAGGATTCTTTTTTTCCCTAACCTGTCAAATGAAGATACAAATCTCACCTTGTCTTCCTCACCGAGTAGGAGATTCAAGTGAAATGTGAACACAGATTGAGCAATGAAAAAAGCTAAAGATAAGGCATTATTATTGTTTCCAAGGACTATTCTTTTTATCTTTGGAGAATCTTCAGACATATATTTAATGGGGTTTGGTTGTTCTTTAAATAAGAAAAATGTGGTATCAGGCTTTATCTATAATGCTTGTAGTACAAGGCTCTGTCTATAATCTTTTCCCCCATATTCTGAAATTAATTTTCAGAAATAAAGGAAAAAATAGAAAATGTATCCAACTTAGCGGGGTTCCTCAGAAACCAGAGTAGAGGCTGCGTACTACATTTTCTAAGAACTGATTTTTAAAGTTTTCTGCTTCCTGGGTTGTGTCATCAATACACAGAGCGTGTGGTAAATTTGACACTGGTTTCATCAACTCACAAAGTCAGTATATTTCAAAGAAAAACATAAAGGAGATAAGAGACATTTAAATATAAGCACAGCAAGAATTTCCAGTTAAATCTCAGATACTCTGAGATGCATTACTTCTAACACATATATAAGAAAGAATAAATCAGTTATTAAGAGATGTATCCTGCTGTACCTCCTTTGGTGATAACAGTATTTTAAATAATATATTATATTATTTAAATCTGTATAGTACCTTTCCTAGGCTGAAATTTCAGCATAGCCATCCTATTTTGTGAAAACAAGTTAGCTTTATTATTTGCTGAAAGAGCAACTGCAATTTAAATCACTTTCATCATGACCAATGACGTCGTGGTGAAGAGTCCAGACATCAGTGCATGAAGAAGAAAGGAAAACAAAATTCATGGGGCCCCAAGACAATTACAACAGTAACATCAAAGATCACTGATCACAGATCACCGTAACAATACAGTAATGATAAAAAAGTTTGAGATATTGTGAGAATTACCAAAATGTGGCACAGAGTCATGAAGTGAGCACATGCTGTTGGAAAAATGACACTGGTAGTCTTGCTTGGGGCACGGTTGACACAAATGTTCCATTTGTAAAAAGCACAATATCTATGAAATGCAATAAATCGAAGTATAATAAAACGAGGTACGTCTGTATAACGAAGAGGTCAAAGATAAGGTCTGAAACCCATCAATCAAAAAGTAGTTAAAATTAGCCAGTTGTGGTGGTGGCCGTCTGTAATTTCAGCTGCTTGGGTGGCTGAGGGAGGAGAACCCCTTAAACCGGGGAGGCTGTAGTGAGCTGAGATCGTGCCACTGCACTCCAGCCTGGGCAACAGACAGTGACCCCTTCTCAAAAAAAGAAAAAAAAGTAGTTAGGTATACTTAACACTACTGAACTGTACACTTAAAAATGACTACACTGATAAATATTATGTTTTTAGCCACATTTTAAAAATAGGAGCAAAAGCATATTAATTAGCGGTAACTAGAATTAACAGGTAAAATTATTTTCTCTAGGGAGTAATACTTGGGGTAGGAATGGAGGAGCAACTATTTTTTTTCATTGTAACCTCATTTGAACTGCTACATTTGATTCTCTTTAACATGTAACTGTGTATTACTTTCATAATTTTTTCAATATGTAAAGAAAAGATCTACCTTGATCCGCAAGACATCAAGTGGAACTGTCTCTCCTTTCACAATGGCAAGCGTGGCATCAGTAATATGTCTAAAAGAGAGAAGGAAATGATCACATTGCAAAAAACAGGCAACGTCTCCCCCGCAAAACTGCCACATGCACTCAAAGCACACACTCAAATACAATCTCGCTCTCTTTCCTGCTCAAAGTAATGGTAGCTTAGATTAGAGCAGAACGTAGTATGAAGAATTACTGACACAAATACGGTGAAAGGCTCTGATAGGGACTCAGAGAGAAAGCTTTGGCTAGAAGTTCATACAAGGCACTGCTCATTTATTCATTTAACATTTACTGAGTCTCTATGTTGTACCTGACCCCTATTTGCCATTGGAAAATATGATACTTAAATAATAACAACATTTTTTATTCATTGTAAGAAATTCAGGCATTTGCAGAAACAATATTCTTGCTCTAGAGCCAGAAGGGTAACTAAAGGGTGGGGTTTATTATAGTTATCTTAGCAAAATATAATCCAGAATCAGAGACATATTTCTCTTATTTTCCAGGACTGCTAGGATGCACTTCATTTTAATTGCTGAGTCTTTTTAACACAGACTGTTCTTATCTACATTCTGATAGTCATTTGGGAGCCTATAGCTTAAAAAATATATTCATCAAAAGGCATGTACTATTGACATCTATGTAGCACATGTGAAACTATGCCAGGCTTGGAAGCAGTTCTAGAGTTTGCAATTTATTAGATCCAGGGTTAGACATACATAAACATACAACAGATAGTCCATAAAAGAAATTTTAAATCAGCAAGTGGCTACACAGTAAGATACGCTGTCTCTCGGAGCAGAGAAAATGAGCGCACCCACACCACACGCTTCCTTGCCCGGTGTGCCCACCCCTCCTGGGAACAGTCTGCAGTCTGTGCATGGCTGGCTAGTCTCTTCCTTCAGATCTGAGCTGAACCATCACCACCTCAGAGACCTATCCCAGCCAGCCTAGAGGTATGTCTTTCCCTAATCTCTATCATTGAACTGCTCTCAAAACTTTCCACAGCAGATACATCACAATTCATGATACGTATTTCTTTATTTACTTTACCATCTGTCTCCTCTGGAGATCGAAAGTTCTACAAGGTTAGTGATAATTTACACCCATTTATTGACCAATATAAAAACCTACACCTAGCAAAGTGCATGGCACATAATAGGCATTTAATATTCACTGAATGCATTATTTTATTCTATAAAATTTCCAGCATATAGAAAAGTATAGATGATTATGCCATGAACCCATACATTCCTCATCCAGCCTTCAGCAATTACCAACTCATGGCAAAACTTATTTCCTTCTATATCCGCCACTCATTGCGCCTATCCTCTATCAATTAAAGCAACCCTAGGTATCTTCACACTTCATCCATAAATTATTCATTATGTACTCCAAAAAACAAAACCTTTTTTAAAAAAAGTGAAATACCATTTTCATACCTAAAACATTAAACAATTCATTTATATCAAAATATACTTACTCAATGTTCAAATCTCCCCAATTAACGCATATGTATTTTAGTTTCTTTGTTCAAATCAGGATCCAAATAAGATGTAGTAATTGCAACTGGCTTATAGGTTTCAGGTTTCTTCCAATTTATAGATTCCCTTTCCTCTTCTCTTCCATACTTGAGGAAACAGGTTGTTTATATTACTGAGTTTCTAAGGTTTGGATTTTACTGATTGTATCCCCGTGGTATTAACATGCACCTCCATTCCTTGTACTTTCTGAAAATCTTATCTAGAATAGAAAATCTGTAACGTGTTCAGCCTTAAGCTTTTGGCAAAAATACTCCACATGGTGGTATGTACTTGCACCACAAGGTACTTGATATCTGCTGTCTCTTCTTTTGTGATGGTGGAAATGATCAATAATCACGGTCTACATGGATTAATTAACAGACTTGCAAACTGGTAATTTTTAAATTCTATTATTCCTTCCAGTTTATTATCTGGTCTGCAAAGAGAAACTTTCTTTCATTAATAATTTGGATACCCTGAAATATAGGTCATATAAGAAAGTCAGAATACTTGATTTTTAAACTTTTTAAAAATCAGTTTTCAAAATAACACATTGATTTCCTAGTATCCTCCGAAAGTGACCAGTTTTTCATTTTTATTCACCTGTTACCTCATTCAGTGATTTAAAAATATTTGATATATCTTAATACATTACAGTTATTTGCCTTATTGATATTCAAATTGTCCCAAATCAACGCATTTTAATGGTGGGACACAGGGTCAATATACAATTAGAATGAACAATGAGAAAGAATAACCACAGAAGGGCCATAGCAATGTTATTCAAACTAAGGAGAAACTAACAGCCCTTCCTTAATGCTTACTTAAGCAAGTAGAATTATCTAAGTTTGAAATAACTTCTGTAATTTTCTTAAACCTTTTTTTAAGACTTCATTTTCTTAGAGCAGTATTAGGTTCATAGCAAAATTGAGGAAGGTACAGAGATTTCCTGTTTATCCCTATCCCACATATGCACAGCCTTCTCCAGTATCAACATCCCCACCAGCACGGTATATTTGTTACAATTGATGAACCTACATTCACACATCATTATCACCCAAAGTCCACAGTTTGTAACACAGGAACAGAAAACCAAACACCGCATGTTCTTGCTCATAAGTGGAGCTGAACAATGAGAACACGTGGACACAGGGTGGGGAACAACTCACACCAGGGCCTGTTTGTGGGGTGAGTCGGGAGGTGGAGAGCATCAGGACAAACAGCTAATGCATGTAGGGCTTAATAGCCAGGTGATGGGTTGAGAGGTGCAGCAAACCACCATGGCACAGGTTTCCCTACGTAACAAACCTGTGTGTTCTGCAAATGTATCCCAGAACTTTAATTTAAGAAGTCCATAGTTTGCACTAGGGTTCACTGTTAGTCTTCTACAATGTGTGGGTCCGGATAAATGTATAATGATATGTATACACCATTAGAGTATTTCACACAGAGCATTTCCACTGCCTTAAAAATCCTCTGTGTTCCAGCTTTTCATACCCTAACCTTAACCCTTGGCAACCACTGATCTTTTTATTTTCTCTATAGTTTTGCCTTTTCCAAATGTCATACAATTAAAATCATCCAGCAGATAGCTTTTCAGACTGACTTATTTCACTTAATAACATGCATTTGAGGTATTCTCATATTATTTCATGACTGGATACCTCAATTCTTTTTTTTGTTGGATATATTCCATTGTCTGAATGTACCACACTTTATCAATCCATTCAACTACAGATTAGTTTTTCTTGTGAGTTTTGGCAAATTGTGTCTTTTAAGGAATTGGTCCATTTCATCTAGGTTATCAGATTTGTGGGTATGAAGCTGTTCACACTATTCCTTTATCATCTTTTTAGTGTCCATAGTATTGAAAGTGATAGCCTCTGTAGTGATGTCCTCTCTTTCATTTCTAGCATTAGTAATTTGTATCCTTTTTTCTTAGCCTGACTAGAAGCTTATTGATTATACTGAACTTTTCAAAGCACCAGCTTTTGGTTTGATTTAATTTCCTGTTTTCAATTTCATTGATTTCTGATCTAATTTGTATTATACTCAGCCCTCCACATCCGTAAGTTCTGCATTCATGGATTCAACCAACTGGATTAAAATTATTTTTTTAAACACTGTATTGTAGACTTTTTCTTGTCATTATTCCCTAAACAATACAGTACAATTATTTACATCATATTAGGTATTGTAAGTAATTTAGAGGTGACTAAAATGTATGGGAAGATGTGCATAGGTCACAGGCAAATGTTACTTCATTTTATATTGGAAACTTGAACATCTGTGGATTTTGGTCTCTGTGGAAGGTCCTGGGACCATACCCTTCTTCTCTTTGCTTTTTGCTTTTCAGACTTTCTACTGAGGTATCATTCAGCTCACAGATCCTTTCCTCAGCTATGTCCAGTCTACTAGTAAGCCTATCAAAGGCATTCTTCATTTGTGTTAGTATCTTGGGTTCTTTCTTAGGACTTCCATTTCTCTGCTTACCGTGCCCATCTGTTATTGCATGCTGTCTACTTTATCCATTAGACTCTTTAGTGTCTTAATCATCGTTTTAATTCCCAGTCAGCTAATTCAAACATCCTTACCACATCTGCCTCTGAGGCTTGCTCTGTGTCTTTGAGTCATATTTTTTGCCTTTTAGTATGCCTTGTAATTGGTAGTCTGAAATGACATACCGGGTAAAAAGCACTGCTGTAAATAGGCCTTTAGCAATGTAGGAGTAATGTGTGAAGGGAGGGGAAGCAATGACTAGGTCTTAGGCTTTAATGAGCCTACGTCTCTGGACTTTGAACTTCACCAGCGTTTCTCAGTTTTTTTCTGTTCCCTTAGGTGGGACAGATGGCTAGAGTGGGCTGGAATTGGCTTTTTCCCTTCTGCCACATGAAAGGCTAGAGCTGACTAGAATTAAGTATTTCCCTTCCCCAGGCAGCTGACCATTGAGAATACTCCAACAGGTTAGGCTCCGGTTAACTTGTTTCTCCCGAGGCCAGGCCTTGTTAAGAAGAATAGAATACTGTTGGCATATTTCAAAATGGTTCCTTTCCCCTACCAGTGCCAAAAGCATAAGGCAATTTTTCTCTGATATTGTGAGCTCCTGGAGGTATACCTCATGATACTGTGGGGGGCTCCTTATGACTGTATCGCAGTAGACCGGGACTCCTCTCAGAGCTGATCGCACTGAACTTCAGCAGTTTACCAATTACAGCTCAGGTTTTCCTACCCTGGCACTGGTTTCCAGTGTGTGTCTCATTAAGTCAAAACCCCCTGTATTTGTCTCTCCAATCTTGTGGGCAGCAGTTTGCCCTATGTCCTCCTTTATTCCTCAGATAGAAGAAGAGATGTTGAGTTTTCAGGCTGTTCAACCTTTTATTGTCAGGACAAAGTGGAAACTTCCAAGCTCCTTACATGTGGAACTGGAAACTGGAAGTGTAACTTCTTTCTTTAAAGTTAGATTAATTAAGGTATGATATATACACAGTAAAATTCATACTTTTAGGCAGTGTTTTACACATTTTGACAAATGCTGCAGTCATATAACTACCACCATGACGAATATATATAACATTTTTAACATCCCAAAAAGTTCCTTCATAACCCTCTGTATCCAGTACACTCCCTGCACCTTCTGCTCCTGACAACTACTTTGTTTTCTGTGTCTACAGAAACCTAAGAAACCTAATGCCTTTCCCAGGATGTCATAAAACAGAATTGAAAAGTATGAAGCCTTTCCAGTTCAGCTTTTTCCTCTTAGCATGAGCTTAAGGTTCATTTACACTATTGGCTGTAATATTGTATAGACTATCAATATTCCACTGTATGGATGTACTGTAATTTGTTCATCCATTCACCAGTTGATGGACGTTGGCATTGCTCCCAGTTTTTGGCAGTTAGGAATAAAGTTACTATAAATATTCATGTATAGGTTTTCATATGGACATATGTCCTCATTTCTTTTGGAAAAATACCTATAAGTGTGATTGCTGCTCATATGATAAGTATATGTTTAATTTTATAAGCAACTGCCAAACCATTTTCTAAAGTGACTACCATTTTGTATTGGCACCAGTGATACCCAAGAGTTTCAGTTGCTGCACGTAGTTCTCAGGTTTTTGTTTCTTTGTTTCTTCTTGTTTATGCTATCCTCATAGATGTGTAGTGGCATCTCATGGTAGATTTAATTTGCATTTCCCTAAAGTCTAAAGATTTTCTTCTAGAAGCTTTACACTTTTATGTTTTATATATAGGTTTACAATCCATTTTGTGCTAATTTTTATATATAGTGTGAGGTATGGGTTGAAGTTTGATTTTTGTATCCAATACTATTTGTTGAAAAAACTGTCTTTTCTATTACACATTGAATGGCTTTGGTGCCCTTGTTGAAACATCAATTGTCCGTGTGTGTGGGTCTAATTCTGGATTCTTTCTTCTACTGATTTATGTCTCTTGTTTTGCCAACACCACATTGTTTTGATCACTGTAGCTTTAGGATAAGTTTTGGAATTAGATAGAGTAAATCCTTAAACTTTGTTCTTTTTCAAAATTATTTTGGTTATTTTACCTCATTTTTCTTTATAAATTTTAGATTCAATTTGTCAGTTTCTACAAAAAGCCTTATGAAATATTGATCGGGATTGTATTGGATTTATATATCAGTTTGGAGAGAATGACATCTCAGTACTGAGCTTTGCAATCCATGAACAAAGAAGTGTCTACTTAGGTCTTCTTGATTTCTCTTTTCAGTGATTTGTAGTTTCCATCATATAAATCTTACACATATTTTGTTAAATTTATCCATAAGTATTTCATGTTTTTTGTAAAGGCATATCAGTGTTAGTTTCCTATTGCCTCTATTGTTACATAGCTATATTTTGGAAAAATAAATCTTGTAATTATGATTAATAAAGTAAAATAATTATTTTGTCTAGAGTTTAAGTACAACTACAAGTAGAAATAATTTAGAAAGTACTTTAATTTCCATTCAAAAAAGGACAGTTCCTAATCAAATAGGGCCCCTCCTAATCTATTCTGCTATGTGCAGACCTGGTTGATACTGTGAATTTTACAGAAATTGTTGCCATCCCATGGTAACTGATTTAAATGACTATAAAACATTCTTTCCTTTTTTAAACAACAACAAACAAAATTTTCCAGGTGAAGCAGCTAGCAATAGAACAGAGACTTATCTGTTTTGATTTATATTTGGTTTACTTATAGAATCTAGAATCAGTAATTGTAGTCAACGTATTTGTTATTTACTGTTTGTCCCCCCAAATGAATTTTTAATAAAATGAATAAAGTCTTCACTGTATCAGATACTTTACTATGCATAATTTCACTTACCTAACTAGACCTATTTCAGCTTTTATTTTTTGAGACGGAGTTTCGCTCTTGTTACCCAGGCTGGAGTGCAATGGCGTGATCTCGGCTCACCGCAACCTCCACCTCCTGGGTTCAGGCAATTCTCCTGCCTCAGCCTCCTGAGTAGCTGGGATTACAGGCATGCACCACTATGCCCAGCTAATTTTTTTCTATTTTTAGTAGAGACAGGGTTTCACCATGTTGACCAGGATGGTCTCCATCTCTTGACCTCGTGATCCACCTGCCTCGGCCTCCCAAAGTGCTGGGATTACAGGCTTGAGCCACCACGCCCAGCCCTATTTTAGCTTTTTAACAATCTTCTGAATTAAGTACTACTAGTGTGCATTTGATAAACGCAGGTAAGAAAACTTAAGTTTAGAGAGATTGAACAAAATTACCAAGAGGACAGAGCCAGCATGTTACAAAATGAAATGCATGTCTCCAAAGATGTGCTATCTTAACCTGTAAGGCTGCTTTGGAGGTATCAAACGGGTATCAATGGACTGCCAAAGAAAATGTCCACATTTAAAATCTGGGTGCTCTATAGCCCTTCCCATCAGTGTGGTCAGGACTAAGTGTAAACACTTACAGGAATCAAATCCACCTAAACCAGTGTTTCTAACAAAGGTAGGTACAACTTAAGATACTTTAAAATCCCAAGATATATACATGGACTCAAATGCTTGGATTAAACTCTGGGTTCCCTAATAAACAAGTTGAAACGATTATACTTTCTCATGTTTCTCTATCACCTCATTTTACACCATTTTTTCTCTCCAGTATAGAGATGCTACTTGGGAAGGAGGTAGCAGTTTAGAATATGAGTTTTAGTTTAGGAGAAAGTAAGTAGCATGCTCACAAGTTTAAGGTCATTTGATATGAATATATCAACTCTGAAAAAAGCTATCAGAAAGGATCCTAAAGTGCTGTACTTACTCTGAACAGTATTTAACACATTGAGAGATTTAGTAAATGCCTTTGAGAGGCTGACCTTAAAAAAACAAATAAAAAATATTGCTGTAACTCAGAAAGTCTTTTCACATCAAATTTCTTTCCTAAATTGCTTGGCAGAAGACAGCTAAAATTGCAACCTGTAATTCATCATTCTCCTGCCAATAACTAAAAGTTCTAAATAAAGCAGCACTGTAGCATGGAAGAGCACTTTTAGGATTATTTACTTGCAACATTCCAAATTCAAAATTCTTTTTTCGTCTGTAGTAACTATGGTACAACAAATCTTGACAGCAGTGCAAAAAGCAAAGCCTTGTTCTTTTTAAATAGCCTTAGGCATCTGCCATGTTATGAGGCCTACAGAATTCTTAACTCAGGACAGACTTACTTGATTACCTAGGAGCCCTGGGGTATGCTCATAAATTAAGTTTTATAAATTTTTAAATTATAAATAGCAGCAGCAACAACAGTAGTTTAACTACAAGGGAAAATCAGTTCCCCCTAAACTGAAGACTCTCTCAGACCCCAGAGGTTGCCACACTCTGTGTAAATTAGCTTTTGGACAGGCAAGGGGTTCTCCAAGGATAATGATCTACCGCTGGGTCAATGACATATGCTATTTGAAATACTGGCTAAAGCAATTCAAAAAAATCTAAACTGACACAAGGGGAAAACAAGCTCTCTAATGTAACCAACAACTGAACCAGAGGATTCATTTTGGAGAAGTAAAAATGTGAGCAATTAACTGTCATTATCTACTGCCCTCCAGAAATTCTAAACTGGGAATAAAAAGTATGACCAACTGCCATGGCCTCTCCTATAACTGGGCCTCAGGATGGCTAATGAATAGCTGAATGATCCCCATTATATTAAGATTTGAAGCATGAAAGAAGTTTGAATGAAGGTCTGATATATATCTATGTGTATGCCTAGTGTTTGGAAAAATGGACCAAAGTGCTTATTAAAAATATATATAGAATTGTTAAAAGATATACAGTTGACTCTTGAAATTACAACAGCAAAAATAAATTCACAAAAGCCAGCCTAATGAAAGAATTCCAAAGCAGAAAAAAAAATCTAAACCCAAACAAAAAAATCACTTGAGTATTATTGTTAATTCTAGAAGATCATAACCAGAAAAATCAAGAGAAAATTTTTATTAAATCATGCAACAAATATTTATTGACTTTCTCCAATGTGTCCCAAAGCTTACATTAACCATCAGACAGCTGATCTCTCGGCTATCTCTCCACTTCTTTGGGTCTTCTTGACAACTATTAGCTTAAAATGATGTTACTAATCACTGTCAGAGCTCAAATTCAAGATTCTTATCTTCTTGAAAGAGCAAAGCTTTGTTTACATAATGCTTTCAAGAAAAAAAGAATAATAACAATTTGCTTGGCTCCCAGAAACACTGTTAGATTCACAGCAATTTCATTTGGATGTCAGGGCTATACTGCTTTCCCTGTCTACTTTGTCTACACTGCCTACCACCTTAGGTATTCCCAAAGGATGTGGCTGTATTTACTTGTTTTAGCTATTTTTAATATCAAGATGATGAAGCCAGAGCTCTGGTTCAATCTTCACAAGGGACTTGCTATTTGTCATCGTGTATACTTAAAGCAAACAAATGATCAGTGCAAATCTGTCTTCATTAAACAATCTTAGGATGTACAAACACAGAAACAGTTTGGGTCAGGGATATTATCTTCACAAGTGACAAAAAGGATATCAAGTATTCACCTCCCTACCTGACCCGGAGACTTCTTCTAAGAGTCCCACAACCCAGTCGGAAAACTTCCCAGTGAACTGAAAGGTTGAACTCTGATGTAGGTCCTCTTAATTATTTGAAGTTTAAGGCTATCAAAACTCAAAACAGTTATAGCATACACATAAATTTTTCATTCCCAGGCTCGCTCACCCACAAATGCTAATTCCCCACATTGACAACCTACTGGACTTTGTTTCCACTTTCGGCAAAGAGGGTATGACTCAAACTGCTGGTCTCTCCCAGTGGGATAAATCCAATGGGAATCTTACTGAAGGTAGCCTGGGGTGTGGGGGGAAGAAGAGGAAAGTGTTATTGTTATGATCAGAAAATCAGGCTTAATGGAGAAGCACAGGTGTGTCCACTAAAACAAATAATTGATCCTGTATCTGCCTCCCCATCTCCTTTCCCACATCCCTAGACCAGTAATCAAATACAGCTAGGTGGGCAATTTCTAACAAAGCAGTCAATGAAAACAAAATGACTCAGAATTTGGAAGAAATATTTATGTACTCATTAATGACATCTGTTTGAAAGAAATTTGGTTAAGATAATGAGGGTTTTGAACATATCAGATTAATGCACTAGTACAACAGAGATAGTATTATGTTGTCACACTATTTGATAAAGTTGAAGATAAAATTCAACTAAAAATGTCTACCATTTATACAGAGACCAATGACAGGTGAAGGTGCTTTATAAACTATCTTAAGTACAAATAAGGCAAAGAGAATAAACAAGTTCAAGTAATAGATGGTACTGACATCCCAGTTTACTTAATTAAATGTCACACATACAATAGATATTATAAGGTTCAAAACAATTCTGAGCACAATCTACAATTACCAAAGGGCCTGAGAAGGATCTTCTAACTATTGTACAAAAGTACAAAAGATAATGCTACCAAAACACCCATATGCCCACAACCTAGATTTAATAAATGTTAACATTTGCCTTTTTGCTTTGTATGTTTTAAGAAATAAAATGATAGAGATAAAATGAAAGTCCCTCCTAAACCTATTCTCCTCTCTCCCTTCCCAGAGGAGACCATTATCCTGAGGCTGGTGTGATTCCTTTCCATCCACATTATTATTCTTTTGCTACATATCTAGGGATCCATTAACAATACATAGTATTGTTTTCTGAATTTTAAAACTTCACTGAAATGCATAACATACCTGAGCAACCTGCTGTTTTTATTCAATGCTTTTGAGATTTAACAATGTAGATACTTATACACCTAGTTCATTCATTTTAACTGTTAAATGACTCCCACTATATGAATATAGCACAATTTATTTATTAAAAAGTTCTTTGAAGAAAAGATTCCACAGTAAAATTTTAAATAACCATTGTCAAGTTATTGGATGCCATCATTTACCAAACCGGAAAAGTCCCCATGGGTTAACATACGTGTCCTATGACATGGGTAGCAGTATTTTCTTTTCTAAAATTCAAGAAAGCACAACTTGTGCCCATTTTAAAACACAGAGAAAAAAGTAAAAGAAAGAAGAGCAAGAAAAAAGAACAGAAAAATAAAAGTTAAAATGCAATTACTCTTTCTCTAAAGCTCACCTCATCTGTTCGTCGAAGAACTCCAGTAACAACCTACAAATACAATAAAACATTATTATAAACAATATGTATTTCCTTTATAATCAAAGAACTGGATTCAATTTTCATAGACCATAACCTTATTCCTGTTTTCTTCTTAGAAGCTCTGTTAAAAGGTGCATTGGATCTTAAAACATAGAGTATTCTCCAGTACAATCAGAGCTAAATTAGATTGTATTTTTGACCTAGGATCAACAAAACAACAAAGGCTAAGATAAAATAATTATTTAAAACTCCAAGTTGTATTAGTAAAAATATATTTTAAGTTCTATAAATGTGATATATACATCAATTATACAAAAAACCCTAGTTTACTACTATAAAGTTCACATACAGGAGAAAAGCACTTTGCTACACTCAGAGAGTATGCACCCAATAGTTCTTATTGACAAATATCAAGGATAGTATTCTTGTAAAAACTGTGAAAAATACCTAAAGAAAAAAAAATTCTCCTAATCCCATCATAACCAATTATTAATCACTTGTTTATTTTTTGCTATATTTCCCTCCAATCCCCTTCCTAATCAGCAGTGCATATTTTTATATGACTGTAATTATACCAAATAGACAATTTCTTTAAAAACATTTTGTACAGTAAACCTGACCCAGGTCTTCTCCCTTCAAGTTCCCCTGCCTCACTGAATTTCAGGAATAAATGGGGCTGTTGAGAGGTCTACTTCATTCTTTGTAGGCATGCTATCAATATTTTTCACACTTCATTAAAAAGCCATAAAAACAATTACAAAATCATTAGCATAGCCTTTTTAAAAGAAGCTTAGTAAGGCTCACGTAATTACTAAGTCAAACATAGGACAGTGCTATGTCTGCTGTTAGCTTCTGATCCTTGAATACTGGTAAAACAGACAAATGGGGACAACAGGCAATCAGGAATGAGGTATGAATGTGAATTATAGCATACAGGACTGAATAATTGATCAGTGAGTGGGATCACCTGCATTGGGCTCTTTAGGGGCTTCCAATGTGTAATGAATACACCAGTCTGCTGCATGGAAAAGAAGAGTACTTGCAGGGTAACATACTTACTGCCCTTAATGGACCAAAGTAAGCATTAAGGGTATTTTTATTAATACATTTTATTATTTAAAAGTAGTCCTAGGTTCACAGCAAAATTGAGAGGAATACAGAGATTTCCCATGTTCCCCTAGCCCCTACATGTGATGAACCTTGCCCCCCTTATCAACATCCTTCACCAGAATGGCACATTTGTTACAGTTGATGGACCTACATTGACACATTATTATCATCACCCAAAGTCCATAGTTTCCATTAGGGTTCGCTCTTGGTATTGAACATTCTGTGGGTTTCCACAAATGTATAACACCATGTATTCACCCCTACAGTATCATAATAAATAGTTTCTCTGCCCTACCAATCCTCTGTGCTCTGCCTATTCATCCCTTTCTTCAGTTTCTGGTAACCAATGATGTTTTCACTGTCTCCATAGTTTTGCCTTCTCCAGATATCAAATAGTTGGAATCACACAGTACATAGTCTTTTCAGAGTATCCTCTTTTACTTAGTAACATATATTTAGGTTTCCTCCATGTCTTTTCATGGCTTAATAGCTCACTTCCTTTTAGTGCTCAATAATACCTATTGTCTGAATGTACCACACTTTATTCATTCATTCACAACTAAAGAACATCTTGGTTGCTTCCAGGTTTTGGCAATTATGAATAACGCCGCTACATGTGCAATTGTGTGGACATAGGATTTCAACTCCTTTTGTAAATACCAAGGAGCAAGATTGCTGGACCATATGTTAACAGTGTGTTCAGTTTTGTAAGAAACCACCCAACTGTTCCAAAGTGGCTATACCAAAGTGGCATTCCTACCAACAATGAGAGTTCCTGTTGCTCCACATCCTTGCCAGCATTTGATGTTGTCAGTGTTCTGAAATTTTGGCCATTCTAATAGGTGCATAGTGGTATCTCATTGAGAACATGTAATAATAAAACCAAGGCAGATGCATACATCTTATCATATATACCTCTTCCTATAAATGTAGTATAATAATATATATAATGGAAAGAATATGAGAATGGATAGGTGAATCTGTATTTATTTATAAGAAACATACCTGAGACTCTGAAAAAAAAAAAAGAAACATATCTGATGGTTGAAACTATGATTTCATTACAAACAGGGCTACTTCATAAAAGTCTTCAAATATAATAAGATCATCCCACCCACCACCATTTAATCTCCTATGATATTCAATGTTATCAAACTTAAATATGATAATATAAAAATTCTTCTATGTGCTGGGTAGAGGTTTATAAAAAGCAATGAAATGGAAGTGCATGAAAAAAATTTAGCTATACTAGCTTCAGAAAGCAACAATCCTAAAACGATGAATTAAATAATTTATTTAAATTACAATTACTTTATATCATTACTCTAGGATTTAATTTCCATTTTTCTCACCTTCAAAACAGCTTCAAAGAGAAAAACAGTCATACCTCCTGCAGTGTCCCATCTCCTCCTGCAACAATGATCACATCTGTGTTTTCCATCAGTTCCAGGAGTTTCTTGGCTTGTCCCTCATAATCTGTCTGAAATACCAAGGAAGTCTTTGGTAAGTTTATCAGCCTAGTGCTACAAGGGTAAAGGTTTAAAAATGTGGGACATCTTTAAAGTTTTACATTGACTCTTTTAGTAAATTTCACATAATTGATAGACATAAAAAAATAGCTATCAAAGCAATTATGTACACCTGTTACAGTTTTACACTTTTAGAGCCATAGGGACCTCAGAAACTATCTAGTCAGCTCCTTACTTTAAAAATAAAATTCAAACCCAGTAATTTGTCTGTTACACAGCTAGCTAGTCAAAGGCCTCATTTCCAGTCCAGTGCAGATTCTATTACATCCTTTACAGGAAGTCAAGTGTACATGCAAATAGGGAGAAGCAGATGTAATGACAAGAGCACAGATGTCAGAGCCCAAGAGACCTAGATTAAATCTCAACTCTGCTACTTTTTAGTTCAGTGACCTTAAACTCTATGGATCTTAATTTCCTCATCACTGACATTATGTGTGTTGAGGGAGGGAATAATGAAAGCTTCTCTGTAAAACAGCTGTAAAGCAGTTGGTAAGGTAACTAACTGTTCATAACTGGTGTTGCACTAAATAAAAGGAGGTTATTATTGTTTTGTTAGGACTATACATAAAGAAATACAGGTATGATTCGAAGCAGTCACAAAACAATGCCTAAGCCTTACCATTTTTATTGACACCATTTGATCTCAGAAACATACACACTTAAATGAACCATTTAAGCCACCGATAATATGTAAAACCAAACACTAAATGTCAATAGACATAATGCAACTAATACTAAAATAGAAAACACTCCCTCCAATTGATATCACACTAGACATACTAATAGACAAAAATTCAATGTCGGATTTCAGATGGGGTAAAGCCCTGTGACATAGTAAAAAATATATATCTGGGCTGGGTGCGGTGGTCCACGCCTGTAATCCCAACACTTTGGGAGGCCAAGGCCAGTGGATCAAGAGGTTAAGAGTTTGAGACCAGCCTGACCAACATGGTGAAACCCCGTCTCTACTAAAAATACAAAAATTAGCCAGGTGTGGTGGTGCATGCCTGTAATCCCAGCTATTCAGGAGGCTAAAGCCAGAGAATCACTTGAACTTGGGAGGTGGAGGTTGCAGTGACCTCGGATCACACCACCGCACTCCAGCCTGGGCGACAAAGCGAGACTCTGTCTCAGGAAAAACAAAAAAATAGACAGATAGGTAGACAGATAGATAGATGTAGTCTTTGTCCTTGGTTCCTGGCACAGAGCTAAAATTCCTGAAATTTCCTGAGTGATAAAAAAAAGTCTTTCGTTATTCATGGCAAGCCCCTCTCAATCTTAACAGAGTTTGTGCTGATAGGTGACTGGTGGACCCCTGGATAGCTTCAAGATGGGAGCTGGTCATCAGGAGGGCCAGCAAGGTGATTAGAGGCTTGGAACTTTTAGCCCTACCCTTAACCTCCAGGGAAGAGCGAGGGGCCTGAGATTGAGATTACTCGCCAACGGGCCGATAATTTAATCAATCCTGCCTGCTTAAGGGAACCTTCCTAAGCAAGGGAGTGTGGAGAGCTTCCAGGCTGGAAGCAAACACCTCAATATGGAAGTGTTGAGAGGAGGCACACCTACAGACGAAGGGCATGGAAGCTCTGTGCCAATCCCTCTGCTCCCATACCTTGCCCTATGTATCTTTCCATTTGCTATTCCTGAGTACTATCCTTTACGACATACTGGTAAACATTAAGTGCTTTCCTGAGTCTGAGTTATTGAACCTGAAGAGGGAGTTGGGGAACCTTTGATTTGTAGCTGGCAAGTCAGAAGAACTGGTGACCATTTCCCCAGGATATGAGACTGGTGCCTGAAGTGTAGACAGTCTTGTGAAACTGAGCCCTTAACCCATGGAGTCTACACCAACTCCAGGTGTTGGAGTTGAGTTGAGCTGAGCTGAGCTGAATTGAATTGACCAGAATTGAAGTGCTGGACATCCAGCTACTGCAAGAAAAGACTCTAGCACCTGAGCCAGTAAGTCCTACATGACATTAATTTACAGTTAACACAGAGGAAAAAAGGAAGCCTCCCTAAAATACTACCATCTAATTTTATGATGAATAGTTCCACTTTTATTCTAAAATTATTGGGCTTTATAGTTATATATTCACAAATATTTGACTTTTAAACAATGTATATAGGTCAATCTGATTAAAAGGATGGTTTGTGAACACCCAGAAATAGGTGGTCATTAGGAATCAGGCTGCATTCTCACTAAGGCCAAGTGATTTCATACTGTCCTCATTTCCTTCTTTGACAGATCAGCTACATCAGTAGATCTTGGAAATTAGACAGACATATTACATCTGGTTTTTAGCAAGACTCCTGGCAAGTCACTTGATGATCTCCCTGTGGACAGGTGAAGAACTGTGGAAGCAACATGCTAGAATACAAGTAAGTGGAAGAGCTACCAATTCAATATCTATGTCCAAAATGTGATGCTCATTGGAATGATGTCAGATTGCTGGAAGATTCCTAGGACATTTCATTAAGGCTCCCCCTTCAGCCGTTTCTTAGGCAATACTTTATCGACAATGGACGTGAAAGGTAATTTACTAGATACACAAATGATACAAAGCTGACATTCGCCCCTCCTTACTTCTCTAATCTCATCCTCTTACTCTCACCCTTTCCTCATTTCACTCCAATCACGCTGGCTTCTTTATCATGCTTTAAACATGTCAAGTACACACATGCCTCGGGGCCTTTGGACATGCAGTATCACAGCTCGTGAAACTGTGATACTCCTTCCTCAAGCATCTCCATGACTAATTCATTTCCTTTAGGTGTCTGTTTGAAGTTCATCTTGTCAGACTTGCCTTCCTTGACCATCTGCACTAAAAGAACACCCCTATTAGCTTTTGTCTCTTTACCTTGCTTAATCTTTCTTCTTAGCACTCATCACCATCTCACAAATTATATGTTTATTTGTGCATTTGTTTCTCAGCTGCATTCTTGCTTTCAAGCCTTGAAATGTACATCTTTAAGGACAGATGTTTATTAAGGAACAAAATAAGGAGTTTATTTTGTTCAGACTATATCCCCAATACCTAGAATAAGGCTTAGCTCATACTGGGAACTAAATATTTGCAAAAACAAATTAATAAATGTAAATAGGTACATGAATAAAAGAATCAAAGTTTTAAAAGATCTTGACAGATCTGACAGACCATAATTTAAAATATTAATGGAGATCATATTAATATATTTGAGGCTCAGATCTTAGAAAAAAAATCCCAAATGCACTAAAAAAGCAAGGATAAAAATAGTGACCTAACAATTACCCACCTCCCATAAAAAAATCTAGACACTAACCTTACGCCTTTCACAAAAACTAACTCAAAATGGACCACAGGCCTAAAGGCAAAATGGAAAGCTATAAAATGTCTAGAAGATAACATAGGAGAGAATTTAAGTGATCTTGGGTTTGGTGATTGAGTTTTTAGATACATCACCAAAAGCCTGATCCATGAAAGAAAACAAAATTTGATAAAATGAAATTCAGTAAAATTTAAAACTTCTGCTATATAAAAAAAACACTATTATAAGAATCAAAAGACAAGCCACAGCCTGAGAGAGAATATATGCAAAATGCATAGCAAACAACTTGCATCTAAAATATACAAATAACTCTTAGAACTGAACAAAAAGAAACCAGCCCAATTAAAAGGGCAAAGATCTGAACAGACACCTCATCAAAGATCTACAGATGGATAATAAGCATATGGAAATATACTCAACATTATATGTCATTAGAGAATTGCAAAATAAAACAATAAGATATCATTATACATTTATTTCAATGGCTAAAATCCAAAACACTAACAATGACAAAGACTGACGAGGATATGGAACAACAGGAACTCTAGTTCACTGGTGGTAATAATACAAAATGGTACAGCCAATTACTGTAGCAGTTTCTTACAAAACCATAGTCTTACCATATTATCCAGTAGTAGCACTCCTAGGCATTTACCCAAATGAGTGGAAACCTTATTATGTCCACCCAAGAACCTGCACACTAATGTTTATAGCAACTTTATTCAAAGCTGCTAAAACTGGAAGCAACCAAGACTTTTTCAGTAGGTGAATGAATAAACTGCAGTACATTCAGACAATAGACTATTATTCAGCAAAGAAATGAGCTAACAAGCCATGAAAACATAATGGAGAAACCTAAACTGCATATTGGTAAGTGAAATAAATCAATCTGAAAAGGCTACCTACTGTATGATTCCAAAATGTTGGAATCATACAGTAGGTAGCTATTTAAAATAGCAATTTTTAAATTTGCTATTTAAAAAATAGCAAAAGTATGGTGACAGTAAAAACATCAGCCCTGGAGGGAAGGATGAATAGGTAGAGCAGAAGAGCAGCGAGAATTTTTAGGGCAGTGAAATTTATCTGTCTGATAATATAATGGTGAACACAATGCATTATGCATTTGTCTAAACCCATATAACTGTGCAACACAAAGAGCAAATGCAAATGAAACTATGGACTTGAGTTAATAATAATGCATCAATAATGGTTCATCAATTGTAGGAAAGGTACCACACTAATATGGGAAATTGTGGGCAGGGGAGAGAAGGAATACAGGTACTCTGTAATTTCTGCTGCATTCTTCCTTCAACCTAAAACTGCTCTAAAAAATAAAGTCCACTTTTTTATAAAGTGGCCTGATGGTACACAGCAAACAAGATAATGAGTTCAATATGACTCAAAAGCATGATATACCGACAACAACAAAAGAGTCTGAGCTTGGGCTGTTTGAAAGAATGGTGACCTTGCCTTACTCTTCCTTAGATAGCCCATACCTCATTTCTGGGCACTACTGGAGAATATTTAAGGGAACAATCAGGAAGGTGATAGATTTGAAACCATTAACTGCGTGAAGAAATTGGAAATGTTTAAACCACAGAAGGCTCAAGGGACGGTCAGGATAACATTTTGCAGAAGACTATTTTGCAGAAGAAAGATTAAGCTTCTTTCACATGAACCAGTGGGATAGAACCAAGTCTGAAGTCAATGATTCTCAATCCAACTACACATTATAATCACTTGGGAATGAATAGACAAACAAATGAACAAGTGAATGAATGAATGAAATTATTTTATATATACAGACACATAGACCCCACTCCACATTAGTTATATCTAGGGAGTGAGACCTGGGTATAAGTTATATTTTTAAACATTTCCAGGGAATTAGATATTCAGCCAGAGTTGAAAACCACTGACCTATGTGTAAAAACTCTTGGGAAACAGATTTCTTTTCAAAATTAGGAAGAATATTCTAATAGTGCTATCCTAAGGTGAAATAGGGTGTCTTGGACGTTTCATGTCAAATGGGAGGCAAAGCCCAAGGTAGAAAGCACATGCCTTAGAGTTGACAGACCTGGGTTTACATGAGCTCTGTCACTACTAATTGTATAACGAAGCAGTTTTCTAGATGTTTATATCCTCAATTTCCTCATTCATAAAATAAAGATAACACTCAATTTAATTGGGCTGTATGTGATTTAAATAAAACCAGCTATGTGAAGAGCTACAATTCCATTTCTAACAGAATGGTAGACTACATACCCTGCCATTGAAATTTTTTTATATTATTTTTTATAGTTTTTATATTATTTTTGTTAACAATGCAGAACCACTGAAAATTATAGCTACTGAGTAAAATAATGAAAACATCTTTGATGCATCAATAAATGAGAATAAAGTACAGAGAACTAAATATAAAACTAGCACCTACGCAGTCAGTGTTTTGAGGGCGTCTAGTGAACCAGGTAGATCTGAATGTTGTTTTCAAAGTTTCACCAGGTTCTAGGAAAAGCAGACAAAAATCCCAGGACCTGCTCAAGATTAGTGAATCTAATATAGAACCACACCCCACTCTAAACCAGAACATAAAAGACTGTATGTGAACTTTAAAGGGAATAAAACCAAAGTTGCCTTACTCCTACTCCTAGCTGATTCCCAGGGTACTGCAAAGACACTTTCATGTTTTGAAATTTGGTGCTAAATGAAGGAAGAAACATCTTCCCTGAGAATCCACAACCTTAAGCTAGCCCTTACATAAGTAACCCAAATGTGTGCTCCCTGGGTAATCTGAAAAAATCTCAAGCTAAAAATTTTAAAAGTTCACAGAACTTTCTTATATGTATTATGCATCAAGAAAGACACAACATTCTGTGGTCCTCCTGCTAAGCTACATAATCTGAATCTAATCATGACAAAACAGTAGACAAACCCAAACTGAAGGACGTCCTACAAAAAAAAAAAAAAAAAAAAAAAAGACTTGAACTCTTCAAAAATGTGAAGGCCATGAAAGAAAAAATACTGAGAAACTTTTTTAGATGAAAGTTGCCTAAACAAACATCCACAACTAAATACAACATGTGATCCCAGATCAGATGCAGAACAAGAAAAAGTGTTTTTTCTTTTTTTATAAATGACATTCATGGAACAATGAACTTAATCTGAATTGTACAAATTAGATAATAGTATATCAATGTTAATTTCTTGATTTTGATAACTGTTCTGGCAGTTATATAACAGTGCCCTTATTTTTAAGATACAGATATTTAGAAATAAAAGAACATTATTTCTGCAACTTACTCTCAAGTAAGTCAGAAAATAGGTATATGTATATATATTCATACATACACACACACACATACATGAAAAGAGAGAGCATGTGTGAACAGGGTAAAATGTTAATACAGCAGCTGAGGAGTTTGGATGAAGTGATATGGAAATCTGTATCATTTCTGTACTTTTTTTTATAAGTTTGCGATTATTTAAAAATAAAAGTGAATCAAAAAGAAAACAAACCCTGTAGAGAGTAGTGGTTTCTACTGAGGCATAAAAAGCAAACATCAGTATTTCTATTTCTATTAATTTTTTAACTTCATCCTTTCAAATGTCTATTTTCTGTATATGTAATGTACATATTAGTACTTGCATATAATTGATAACTATCTTAAATTGGAAAAAATTATAAATACATGAGTCACAGGCATTTGAACATAGGTTAGGTAGTATAAGATGATATAAGAGAATTGTTACTTTTGCTAAGTATGAAAATGGCACTGTAGATAAATATAAACGTATCCTTATTTATTTAAAAATACATGTAAAAGTATTTAGGGATAAAATTAGAGGACGTCTATAACTGACTTCAGGGAACCCAGCTACCATGTGAAGATATCTAGTGGAGACCACATGAGCCAGAGGACAGCCAGCATCAACTTGAAGACATGTGAGTAAAGCCATCAAAGACCACCCTTCCTCAGCCATGCCACTAGGAGCCCAGGCGAGACTGCTGACCCATGGAATCATAAGCAGAAAAACAGTGAGGCAGTTTGTTCTGTAGCAATAGATAACTGGCATAGAAATAAGCCCAAATACATCAACAATTATGAGAAATGTTGGAATGAATTAAACAGTCAAGTCAAAAGATGAGAAAAACGGCCTTTACAATATCCTGCTTTCATCAACAATACATCTAAAATATCAGAATACAAAAAAGATGAAAGTAAAGGGATATAAAAATTATTCCAGGCAAAACTTAAAATCAGTAAGCTAGTATAACTTATCCATTATACCAGATAAGATAGACTATCACAAAAGGCAGTATTTGTGCTAAAAATAGTCATTCTATGACAGGGTCAAATGTAAGAAAATTGAAATAATCTGAAACTTTGGTGCATCTAATAACATAGCTCAAAATACAAAAGGCAAAAGTGGACAAATCTATGTAGTGAAATAGATAAATCCACAGATACAGTGGGAGATTTCCAACACCTCCTTCTTGATAATTTGTCTAGTTAAAACAGAAGAAAAAATCAGTAAGGACATAGAAGATTTGAACCCACACAATGAACAAACCTGACTTAATGAACATACATAGAACACAGTATCCAATAACTGATATATACTATTTTTAGGCATAGATACAACATTTATTGAAACAGAGCATGTGTTAGACCATAAAACAAATTTCAACAAACTTTAAAATACTAGAATTTTATAGACTACAGGTTTTTTTTTTGGCCAAAATGTAATTAAGTCTGAAATCATTAACAAAGACAATCAGAGAAACTTTAGATCTGGAAATTCAGAAACATGTCTCAGTAACTCATAGATCAAGCAAAAATCATAAGGAAAATTCAAAAATATTCAGAAATAAATGATAATAAAAATATCATTCATCAAAAAGCACAGGATGCAGCTGAAGCAGATTGGAATTTGTAGCTTTAAATACATACAGTAAGGAAGAAAGTCAACAACTAATGAAATAAGCATTGAAGTTAAAATGTCAGAAAAAGCAGAGCCAAAAATTTTTTTTAAAGTAGAATGAAGGAAACAGTAAAAAAACGATCAGAAACAAATGAAACATAAATGAGAGGATCAGTAAGCCACAAAATGGTTCCTGGCAAGGCCTAATTAAATTGACAAACCTCTCACAAGATTACTGACGGAAAAACAAAAAGGGTACAAATAAGCAATATTGAGAATGAAAATGAGACATTATAGATGCTATAGAAATTTAAAAGGTAAATAGAAGATACTATGAACAACCTGATGTCAATTAACTTGAAAATTTAGATGAAACAAATGAATTCCTTGAAGAATTTATCTTACCAAAATTAAGTCAAGAAGAAATAAAACTTGAGTACTTCTTGAACTATTAAAGAAATTTAACATATGAATTTTAAAAAAAGATCAAAAGGGCTGGGCACAGTAGCTTACATCTGTAATCCCAGTACTCTGGGAGGCCAAGGCAGGAGGATCACTTGAGTCCAGGAGTTCGAGTCCAGCCTTGGCAATATAGTGAGATCCTGTCTTTATGTGTACACAGACACACACACACACACACACACACACACACACACTACACATTAAAAACAGAAAATCACCCATCAAGGAAAGGTCCAGATGGTTTTACCTGTGAGTTTCACCAATTATTGAAAAAACAAACATTAGTTTCACATACTAAGGTCTCTCATACCTGCCACATTACAGGTACTCAAATATATGTTAGTTTTCTTCCCCTTTCTCCTATCCCCAGAGGCAAACGACTGGAAAATCATGCCAGAAAAGTCGGAAAAGAGGGTTCAACACTGCATAGTAAACTAGACAAAATGATCCTTTTTGACTTCTCTGATTTACTGGAAGCATACAATATTAGAAACTGGTCAACCACAGTAAGAGTGGTTTTCACCATATACACACACGTATGTACTTACCCATACATATCTCATTTAAAATTCAACAAGTAGGGTCTTACATCTTCAGAAACAGTATAATTCCTTGTAATTTATGCTTGCCTCCTTTTCTTCTTAACTAAATCTCAGATTCTTCACCAGTGATAATTCCTTACTAGAGAGAAAAGGGTTTACCTGTTTGTGGAATTACTAAGAAATTAATTACTCAAACTTGAAGACTGTGTATTTTCAGGAAAAGAATTCTTACAGCTGTGACAATTTTCATCTTCCAAGAGATGTAATTCCACATCCCATCTCTCAGATGAAAGGTATCAAGTTCTCCAAGCCTCCCTCAATCCAATTCTGAAAATGAAAAGCTGACACTATTTGGAAAAAACAAAACTGCTTTTATCAATTGTCAGAACAGGTTATAACATTAATTTCTTTGCTTTTGTGACAAGCAATTTTTGCTAAGAGGCCAAGAGAAGAGGTTGTTATAAGAGGCAGCTGTTCGGGTGAAATAAACATTCTGGAGCCATCCTCACCTTAACAATAGTCACATCCATGCCGGATAAATGTAAAATCGGGGCAGCATTTTTTTCAAATAGATTCCTGGCTTTGCTGTAAACAAAGGAAAAAATACAAACATTTTAACACAGGTTATCAAGAGGAAGAACAAAAAGCCTTACAATCTTCTTTAGGGCAGAGTAAGAAAGACCATGAAATACAGGTTTCCTTTATTTGTTCAAGCACAGAAAGTTTAACAAGTAATGAGTTACTAAAAATGGGAGAATAGAACCTTTCACCCTGGGGCCTCTGAGAATTTGCTGTTTATCTAATGCAATAAGCTCTTATCCATTTGGGATACTTATAGTTCACGCTGTAGTTCCACTAGGGGAAGAACAGACACTAGATATGGTTCCATTCAGGCAACAATGCTTGATTCACTCAAGTATTCCTTGAGCACCTACTGTGTGATAGACACAGGTGGAGGAGCTAGGAATACAACATGACAAAGCAGACAAAACTACTAATTCACCAGAAGCTTGTCTGAAACTCCCAGGCACAGTCATGCCCTCTCTGTGCTCCCCTAGTACCTCATACACAACTCTGTTAGTGACTTTCACACTGTATGGTGATTAAATTTCCAAGACTGTTGTCAGCACTAGACTGGAAGCTTTGCAAAAATAAATACCAAATCTTATTAATCCTTGAATCCTCTGACCTCTAGGGTTGTGTATGGCACACTTAGAAAGTACTTACTAAGTATCTGATTAATTAATGCATAAACGAATGAATAAACCTGCTCCAAATATAGACATGTAAATTCTGAGGAAAAGGAAACAACATGGATGTCTTACAATAAGAGAAAAGACAGCCTTCAAAGCGTTTGCATATTTCACAAGTATTATGCATATCATTCTGACATTGAACTCTTATCCAATTCAGGTCAGAATTCAAAAACACAGCCTAGAAATTCAGGGATGCAGAAGTTGCAAAACAATCTCTCTCACCAATAGCACCGTCTCAAAGTCAAACCAATGTGAAAACATAACAATCTCTCTCACCAATGGCATAGTCTCAAAGTCAAACTAATGTTAAAACATAACAATTAGTTGACCTTTTACACAAATATTTCAACTATTACATAAGGAAAAACAAAATCTACTACTTTCAATCAATGTCAAACACCTAACTTTTATCCATAGTTACTCAGTCCTCTTTCTAAAAAAGATACTATTTCTAAACTGAAGATGTATCCTTTGACCTTAAGGATACTTTATACAAAACTTTAAGGATATTTTATAGAAGAGACATTTTATATTAAGCTACAAAGGTAGCTAATGAGGAGCATGCATAGTTATGCACAGGCCAAACTCAATATTCTTAAACTAAAAAGAACCACCAAATGATATATAGAACACAAAACATTTCTTATTTTGAACTAAAATAGAAATTGAGAGGCTTGCACAAATTTTCACAAGAACCATCCAAAAGGATATTTCAAATGGGACAGGAGCAGTGGCTCACGCCTGTAATCCCAGCACTTTGGGAGGCTGAGGCGGGTGGGTCATGAGGTCAGGAGATAAGACCATCCTGGCTAACATAGTGAAACCCTGTCTCCACTAAAAATACAAAAAATTAGCCAGGCGCAGTAGTACATGCCTGTAGTCTCAGCTACTTGGGTGGCTGAGGCAGGAGAATCGCTTGAACCCAAGAGGCAAAGGTTGCAGTAAGCTGAGATCACACTACTGTACTCCAGCGTGGGCGACAGAACGAGACTCCAAGAGCCTCCTCTGAGCGTATAACAAGCAAATGAAATATATTCTACCTTTCTACTGCTCTGAATGATTATTAGAATGAACATAAAAGGGTGAATGAAAATTTCTCCTTTCCAGCTCACCCTTTCTGGAGTTAACCCAACATTAAAGGGCTGAGCTAGTGATACTGCAAACAGTTCTCCTTCCAGGGTTGCTTTCATTACTAGATTGATATGAAAGGATCCATTGGAAGTGGATCAGATCTATTTCCTAAAAGCAAAATTATGAAGAAGTCTCAATCTGCCATATTAATCACAAATCTGTGACCTCTGCTGAGTTAGTTTAAGAAATCAGGTTAGAACATTTGGGTCTTTATTCACATCTTTATATGATGTTCTAAGTTCAGAAAACCTTTAAAATAAAGGTGAAGACTTTTTCCCTTCTAATGTTCTAGATAAAAGATTGAAAGGCAAGTGTTACTAGTAAGAAATACATTATTTATTATATAATTAAGGGCGAGATAGCACCAAGGCTAAATAAAAACCTTAGGTACTTACAGCAACAGGCACACACACGAAATAATTACTCTTTTATGTATTATTTATTAATGCTAAACACACAGTTATCTTATTTCTTAAAGCTCTTATGTAGTTTTAAACCAGTACTACATAATAAAATAGCTACATGATAAATTATAAATTATGTGTCGGGGCAGAGCCATGATGACAAAAATAATGCAATTAAATAGTGAAAGCTTAAAAAAAAAAAAAAAAGGGATGCCAGGGTTTCCTAGAAGCACGCAGGGATTCACCTTGTTAAAGGAGACAATGCCTTAAGAAAAGAGTTTCCTTCAGTGGCAGTATTTTAGCTTACTTTTATATAAAGGTATTATAGTTCTAAACAATAATCTACTTTTAAAAAAGCAAATACATTTACATGTAAAAAGAACCTAAAATTGCTTAGAAAAATTTGCTTATTAATTTTAAAAATGTAGATACTTCTTAGAAGCAGGAATTCAAAATAACTGGTTATTGCTTAAACAAATTGGCATAAGTTTCATCAGAAATTAGCAAGTTGTTAATTTATTAGGTCTCTAAAACTAGCCCATGCATGGTAAAGAGTAACAATTCAGCAGTTTATGAACTGGAAATAGTGCCTAATAAGCATTATCTCATTTAATACCAAAGGTCCCTATTCCACATAATCATTTTTAAAGTATGTACTTTTGCCTTTCTGATTTTACAGATGAGCAAATTGGGCATTTCAGAAGTAAATTAACTCCCACAATATAACAGGGCTAGTAAGCAGCAAAACAGTAAACAGACCAGGTTCCTCAAACTCCCATACCCACGCTGAGTTCTCTGTTATCTTCAGCCACAGGCCACCACTGACAATTTAATTATCTTGGGTATTTGGACTGTGTTATATCAGGACTTGCTGATTTGTTGCTATGATTTAGTACTGATATTAAACAAAAGTGATCAATAGGCATTATCACTGGTTTATTTATGGGGGAGGGAAGCCGCTCTAACAAAACCCGGTAGATATGATTTAGTTAGGCAGAACAGTCTGTTTAGACAATCTGAATTAAACAGCTGAATTACAAAGAAATAAAGCAGGATGTGTCCTCCTGTCTATGAAGTCACACTCACTGCCTCCCAAGAAACAAATAGAAAAACTGACATCAGATACCCTGTGTTTACTCGACAATATTATGCTTATCACTTATAATCCAGCCCAAAGCTTCTTGTTGTTGTTCTTATTACCTTAATGTTATCTGACTTTGATCTTATAGAATCCAATTTAGTACATATTTACTAATTTTCTTTTTCTTTTTTTTTTTTTTGGAGACAGGGTCTCACTCTATCGTCCAGGCTGGACTGCAGTTGTATGATCATGGCTTACTGCAGCCTCAACCTCCCAGGCTTAGGTGATCCTCCCACCTCAGCCTCCCAAGTAACTGCAACTACAGGTAAATGCTACAACATCTGGCTAATTTTTGATTTTTTCTCCAGCTAATTTTTGTATTTTTGTAGAGACAGAGTTTCACCACGTTACCCAGGCTGGTCTCAAACTCCTGGGCTCAAGTGATCTGCCTACCTTGGGCTCCCAAAGTGCTGTGATTACAGGCATGAGCCACTGCACCCAGCTTACCAATTTTCTGATTCCCAAAAAGCAAAAAAGAATTGTTCTGGACATTAGGGACATTAAAAGATATTATTTTTTAACACCCAATCCTTTAATTCTGACTATTCTTTCAAAATAAATTTTTAATTATTTATTCTAAAGCCATCAAGGTCTTTGTATTCACGTTTTCAACTGAATTACAGTTGCATCTAACATTGTAAAAAAAATGTTTTGCCTATTTATTTTTTCTTAACAGACTTTGAGTACCCACACACCCACTCCCCACCCCTGCATACAGCCTCCCCACCTTTTTAGTGTGGTTCATTCATATATCAATGAACTGCCATGATCAAATCATTATATACCCAACTCTCAACTATTCTTCACACCTTAATTCCCACAATTTCCTCACATGACCTTCCCAGGCGGGCCAGACCAGTTACAGACTGTCCTGTGTCATAACAAAGCAATAACTAGGTCACTCCTATCTCCAGGCCCCTGCCCTATGGACCATTTCCTCAGTTGAGAAGAGTGAGTAGCCTTCTCCTGCCTGCTTCCTCTCGGGCCTAGCTCAAGGATCATCCCTTTTGGAAAGAACGTTTCTGATCTCCCAAGCCCACAGTATTCTTGGCCATCTCTGAACATCCTGTGGACAAAGATGGCCTAATGATTTACATCCTAGCAGTAGAGCAGTCACTCCCAGGGGGACTACATCCAAGCAAATAAGACATCTTTGTAGGTGTTAATCCTGGAATGATTATTAAACTTCAATTAGACAAGTTTGCTAAGCATCCATTAGCTTTATAGTTATTTCTCATTTAACTGTTATTTCTACATTACAAATGAATCTTATTGCTAGAAGAGTACTAAACCTAGTTCTTCCAATTCCACATAATCTCACTAGCTGCCTGACAGTCTGTGATGTCTTTCCCCCTTTGAAAAACCAAGTATCTAACAAGTCACAAATGGAACTACCCTTTGCAAGCTGCAGGATTGAGAAAAACAGTTGCCTTCTTCACTTGTGCATTGGGAGGAATGAGTTGATTGCCAAACACCTAAAAAAGAAAAAAAACAAAGTTTTCAGCAAAAGTTCAGTTATTTGGTAAATGTCACATGTATCCTTTCATTCCAAAAAGATTTACTTACAGCACATATGGTATCTTCCCTTGGGGGAAAAATGTTCTTTCATGATCTCATATTAACAAAAACACTATCAACAACAACAAAAAAGTAGCATTATTTAATGACGATAAGCTCTATTTTGTACTGGAATAAAAAATCCTGCTTTATCTACTAGAGGCAAATAACATTTATTTTCTGTATAAGATATGGCTAGGTTTATTATAAATATATCATTAGTAAGGCCATAGTCTGTCAGGAGAGAAGCTTAATCTTCGCGTCTTTAGCTTTCAGAGTACCATATTCTCCCCAACTCATCACTAAAACTTGTTCATGAGGAATCTTTGTGTTACCAGTTAATCTTCATATATTTATACACATACAAAATAAACCTAACACTCTATTTGCCTTCTCTTCTTTGCAACCCTGTATGATAACTAAATAGCAGGAACTGGCAGGGGAAAAGAAATGTAACTAATATATACCAAGCACCTTTAATTTGACATTTTTTACACGCATTATTCTTAGTTCTCAGAAACCAAGGTAGTATGAAATAATCTTAGTTTTCCAGATTAGAAAGTCCAGAATCAGGAAGATTAAGTTCCTGAAAGTTACAGAGTTGATAAATTACAAGCCTGGAATATACATCTTCTAACTCCAAAGCTAAAACTTTTACTCTCTAAGCTCTAAACAGAGGATCAAGAATGAGAATTAAGAGGCAGAGGACTAGATGTGAGGAGTCCAAATGAGCAATGAATGGGAATTCTTGTTATTATGTCTGAATTGGAAATGATGGTCAACAAAAAGAATAAGAAAAGGAAAGTACCAAAATGGGCAAAAATTGAGGTCTTCAATGGTGGGAGCAGGTCTGGGCCAAGAAAGCAGAATTCTAGTATGGAAGTACAAAGTAAAGACAGGAGGAAAAAAGATTATGCAAAGTTGTTTTCTTTTTTTTTTTTTTTGAGATGGAGTCTCTGTCACCCAGGCTGGAGTGCAGTAGTGTGATCTCGGCTCACTGCAACGTCCGCCTCCTGGGTTCAAGTGATTCTCCTGCCTCAGCCTCCTGAGTAGCAGGGATTACATGTGCCCACCACTGTGCCCAGCTAGTTTTTTTGTATTTGTAGTAGATGCGGGATTTCACCATCTTGGCCAGACTGATCCTGAACTCCTGACTTTGTGATCCACCCTCCTTGACCTCCCAAAGTGCTGGGATTATAAGCATGAGCCACTGTGCCCAGCCACATAGATTTTTTATTGAATAACTTACTCTAAATCTGCCACCTCCCTGACAGTTCATTTTGGAGCCTTTCTTATCATTGTCTATTGCTTGCTTTAAAAACAAAATTAGTTCGGTGGCTCACGCCTGTAATCCCAGCACTTTGAGAGGCCGAGGCGGGTGGATCACAAGGTCAAGAAATCGAGACCATCCTGGTCAACATGGTGAAACCCCGTCTCTACTAAAAATAGGAAAAATTAGCTGGGCATGGTGGCGCGTGCCTGTAATCCCAGCTATTCAGGAGACTGAGGCAGGAGAATTGCCTGAACCCAGGAGGCGGAGGTTGTGGTGAGCCGAGATCGCGCCATTGCACTCCAGCCTGGGTAACAAGAGGGAAACTCCGTCTCAAAAAAAAAAAAAAAAAACGAAATTAGTTGTTTTTTCTTATGAAGCAGAGAAAAAGACTGTATCTTTGTAAGAAGTTTCTGGTATATTATAATTTCTATTCTGTTTTCATTCTTACTTAGACCTTAATATTTTGCTGTTAAATCTCCAAATATTGTAATTTTTTCTTTTTCTATCTATACTATTTCGGAATCAGGCAGAAATGACATCACTAACCAGGCTCTCTTGCCTACCAGATTCCATACCTATGCTAGTAAGATTATTCCTCCTTGCCCTGATTTCTTAGTGTCTAAAGTTTGTACCTACTTGCAACTCAAGTCTCAGATTCACAGTAGGCTAAGGAGTTTACACGAGACTACATTAAGTTTATGTGAGATTTGTTTTTAAAAATCATATTCTTTCAAGAATTTAGACTGTTAAGGGAAGAACACAGATAGGAAAATTAGCCAGCAGAGGCTACAAGGGCAAATCCACTTCCATTTGTGAGATGGAAGGAATTAAACATGCAGGGGAAGTGGAGAATTAGAATAGTAGAAAGAAAGAAATAGAGAAGAAGGAGAAAATCGCTAAAGGAACATCATCCCTGAAGAAGTCTGAGGAGACAGAACTCAGAACAGAGGTGGAAGCGTTTACCTTCAATGAGAAAGGGAGGATCCTACAATCACACAGGCCTACTCTTCCTCAAAGAGAGAAGGAACGGGTTTCCCTCCCAGGAGGATTTTCCAGTTGGTAATGACTGGCTTGGGACAGGGATCACCTTTAATTTAATATTAAAGTTTATTTGAACTGATTTCTAAAACAACTTAGAGCCATATGAGAGATAACATATTTAAACAAAAAGTAATCAACTTCTTAAAACACAGATTTAGAACAGCTAGATAACAATCGCTAAAGAGAGGAATTAATTTATAGTATCTATTGTCACTGTCATACAAAAAACATCTCAGAAACAAACAGGAAGTCTGCCACTTACTGCTACTAAATGCTTCTTCATATCTTTGCCACTTTTGATTTTTATGTTTCTATTTCAGAATTTCTGACATCATAAGTTCAAATGATACAAAACTCAGTCACAGAATTTCAACTGCAAACTATAATGTACATTTTTGCAATGGGGGACAAAAATGGGGGTCTTAAATTTGAAAGGATTTATAATCCAGCTATAATTAATTAGCCATATAAATGAACACTTAAGTAAAATCTCATGGAACTGGGATAACAGTGCACATGATATGGCTCACTTGAGCCTGGAGATAGGCTTTAAAAATATGAATCAACAATTTTAAGAAGATTGGACTTTCAGAGGTAATACTTGTTCTGAACTGATATCCTTGGGGGTTATTCAGATCAGGAATGATTCAAGGGTTAGCCAGATCTACAAAGACAACTGCAGACACAAACAAATTCCCAGAGCTTCTACCAGTCCAGTTCTGTGTTCTTGGGACCAATCCAGAAACAAACAGTCTACAGGGGTGGGCGTCAGAACTGCTCTTCACCAGATGGTTAACTTCCTGGAGTTCTACTCAGAGTTGGCTCCCAGTGTGATTCATCCTGATAGTGCTAAAAAATAGCCAAACTGCACAGATGCAAGACATTGCAAGTCCCCTAAAGAGCTCAGCTTTTCTGCACAATGAAGATAAGGAGGGGTTTAATTTTATCACATTAAATAGTATTACCTGAGCTTCTTGACAGGCTGCTCTCCTAAGCAGGTTATCACTATCAAGGTAAGCAAAAGAGAATAATCATTAGCTTTAGTAGATTATGATCCAAACCAAATCTGTGAGTTTTTTCATTTTTTAATATATACACCTCTTCTCTAAAAATACCCAAGTGAAAGTTTCCTAAAAACCTGATAACAAGTTATCGGGACATTTGAAAAATATATCCTCTGAATAAAAGTTTGTATTAAATATTTTCATATTATGGTGACCAGAATAATGCCCCATCCCCCCCAAATTGTCCACATCCTAATCCTCAGAACTTGAGGATATGCTACTTTAAATGGGAAAAGGGATTTTTACAGACAGGATTAAATTTAGGGACTTGAGATGGGGAGACTGTCCGGACCATGCAGACGGGCCCAACCTAACCACAAAGGCCCCGAAACAGAGAAAGTTTCCCAATTGTGATCAGAGGCAGATGTGACTATGGAAGAATGGTCAGAAAAATGCAAACTTGCCAGCTCTGAAGGTGGAAGAGGGTGTTGAAGTGAGTCAAGGAATGTGGTAGCCTCCAGAAGCTGGAAAAGCAAAACAATTCTCCCCTAGAGCCTCCACAAGGAACACAGCCCCAGCCACACTCTGTCTTAGCCCAGTGAGAGCTGTTTTGGACTTCCAATTCACAGAATGTAAGACAAGAAATCTGTGAACCACTAAGTTTGTGGTAATTTGTTAAGGTAACAATAGAAAACTAACATACATATCCTGCATTTTTCTTTTTTTTTTTGAGACGGAGTTTCGCTCTTGTTACTCAGGCTGGAGTGCAATGGCACAATCTCGGCTCACCGCTACCTCCGCCTCCTGGGTTCAGGTAATTCTCCTGCCTCAGCCACCTGAGTAGCTGGGATTACAGGCATGCGCCACCATGCCCAGCTAATTTTTTGTATTTTTAGTAGAGACGGGGTTTCACCATGTTGACCAAGATGGTCTCGATCTCTTGACCTCGTGATCCACCTGCCTCAGCCTCCCAAAGTGATATCCTGCATTTTTCTTACCCAGTGGAAATTAGGTCGTTTGCCACAAGTAAATCTGATGTTTAGTTTTTCCTACGGTTTTATCTAAATCATTTGTTTTTTTTAATCACCGTCAGATACTAAATAAGATCATAAAGGGAGAATTTTGTCATGAGGCAAAATTTTGGCTTCCAAAAATGAAAGCATTCTGTCAGAATATGATCACCTATTTACCATCAAGGTCTCTAAAATACGTTTATACCATAAAAGCCCTTTAAATGGCTCCAGTCGCCTACAAGCTCCAGAATCTTCATCTAAGAGTTTGTGCTAAGGCACATTGCTGACACTGCTAAGATAGCAAGTTCAACTTGGTTAACACCAGTAAAGAAATCAAATACCCAGAAAAGATGAACAATAACCAATTTATAGGAAAACCTGGAAAAGAAAAAAGGTAATTTTGCTTATATTCTTTCTAGACTTTTTTAAATAAAATTGAAAACTTTAAATTTTGCATTTTCACAGTAATTCAAATGGGATTTTGACATTTACAGTGAATGAAAAGGAGTAAGTAAGCTTTGCTTTTTGCCAGAGTTGCTGTCAAAGGCTGCCGGCTCAGTGATTCCACAGCCAGGCTGCAGAACGACCCGTGAATTCCACAAAGCAAGCGGCTTCACTAAGAGAACATCATTCACAGGGAAGTATTGATTCTGTGAATCTAAAACCTAAGAACCAGCCAGACATGGTGGCTCACGCCTGTAATGTTAACACTTTGGGAGGCTGAGGCAGGCAGATCACTTAAGGTCAGGAGTTCGTGACGAGCCTGGCCAACATGGTGAGACCCCATCCCTACTAAAAATACAAAATTAGCCTGGTGTGTGCCTGTAATCCCAGCTACTCAAAAGGCTGAGGCAGGAGAATCCCTTGAACCTGGAAGGCGGAGATTGCAGTGAGCCGAGATCGTGCCACTGCTCTCCAGCCTGGGCTACAGAGTGAGACTCCGTCTCAAAAAACAAAACAAAACAAAACAAAAAACCTGAGAACCATGTTTTACTGAAATTATAATGACATCAATACCCCAAAAGCTGATGCTGTTCAATAACAAGGATTTTCAGGAGACTCACCCCTTGTGAAATCCAGCACAAGTCAGCCCAGTCCCCATTGGCTGAAGTGACTCTGCTTCCCTGTGCCCAGGTGGCAAAGGGCGTTGTGCAACCTTCTCTCCCTCGCACCCAGGATTCACAAATATTCATGTTTTTTTATATGACTCCCCACAGGAAATGACACATATTCATGTTTTACTTTTCTTCTTGTGTCCCTCCCCATCAAATGCTGTCACTGAATCGTGCTAACATCAGTAACAACAAAAAAAATATACTAGAAGATGAAGTAAACTCAGGGTACAAACTAGCAAGATATCTTGAAAATAATTAACATATCACTAACTCCTTATGGTTAACTCAATAATTTGCATTTATGACCTCATATACAATGAAGAGGCAAAACACTGAATCCACAGTAACCTCTGGATAACAAAATAATACGAGGTTCCTCATAGTAACCTGGGCATTGTCACTGGCCCTCCCCTGCACTGTGCTGACCCCCAGTCCAGCTTGCACAGGGCCCTGGGAATGCAGCTTCCAGCCTCTCCCAACTGTGCTCCTGCAGCCACTGCTTTCCTTTAGCAGACAGAAAACCTTGTGCCTCCAATCTCTACTATAAACTCGCCCTGTGGATTTTTCTGCACAAGCCCCCTATGCTTCTATAAAAGCTGCAATCCCATCTCTATATCCCGCCCACATCCAGGTTCCTCCTCTACCGCGAAGGACAAATCTCCAAAAGGCAACAGGCTCCTCTGGGTCATTAGGAAAGAACATCACCCTTGCCATAGCTCAGCCACACTGATATCCATAGACCTAGCTAAAAAGACAATAGCACCCAATATGCACAAGAATATGGGGTAGCACCTAAAATGAGTTAGATCATTTTTTCCCCTAAGTTCTTAGTTGCCAGAAGTAAAGTTCTGATTGTTAGCTTGTGATTAAATGTATTATTAAAGATTTCAGCTCTCCTGAGTTTATTAATTCTGCTTAATTTATCAGAATGCTATTCAAAATCAAAAGATTTTGTGATAGTTAATTCCCTGAATTTAATGTGCCAAATGGAATATCCTGTCACTGCCACCTGTGAGAGTGCCAGAATACATACCAATTTTGATATTACAAAAGAAAAATCTCATTATAATCATACATAACTTTGTTTAATATCAAAAATGGTATTAACCATCTTGATCTTGCTCTCTGAACCCAACTATTCCTAAAAATCAAACACATTCTCAAAGATAAAATATTTCTCCCATTGAGACAGTCCGATGATCTGTAGCAAGCTCTGAAAAGTATCTCAACAAAGAAATTCCAAAAATGTTTCAGTACTGTCACCATTGTCAGAATAAAAGATGAAACTTAACATTCATAGAGCAACTACCTTGTACCAGGTCCTATGGCAGTTATTTTCATAAAGCTTAAATTTTTGTAAAACCTTGCAAGGCAGGCATTATTCTCATTTTACAGATCAGGAAACCAAGACTCAGAGAAGGAAAGTGACATGCCCAAAAACACAGAATTACTAAATGGTAGCCTCAGAAGTGTTTGAACCAGAGCTACTCCATCTTGAGTAGGGGCTGGGTAAAAGAGGCTGAGACCTACTGGGCTGCATTCCCAAGAAGTTAGGCATTCTAAGTCACAGGATGAGATAGGAGGGCAGCATATACAGGTCATAAAGACCTTGCAGATAAAACAGACTGCAAAAAGAAGCCGGCCAAAATCCACCAAAACCAACTGCAACAGAGTGACCTCTGGTGCCCTCATTGCTCATTATATGCTAATTATAATATATTAGCATGCTAAAAGACACTCCCACTGGCACCATGACAGTTTACAAATGCCATGGCAACATCAGGAAGTTACTCTATATGGTGTAAAAAGGGGAGGGACCCTCAGTTCTGGGAATTGCCCGCCCCCTTCTGAGAAAACTCATGAATAATCCACCCCTTATGTAGCATATAATCAAGAAGTAACAATAAGAATAAGCAACTGAGTATAGGCAGACCAGTATAACCATGCTGCTGGTCTGCCTATAGAGTAGTCATTGTTGTATTCCTTTCCTCTTTTTCACCCTGAAGTGAAGTCTCGCTCTGCCCCGGCAGGCTGGAGTGCAATGGCACCGTCTTGGCTCACTGCAACCTCCACTGCCTGCGTTCAAGTGATTCTCCTGCCTCAGCCTCCTGAGTAGCTGGGAGGTGCACACCACCACACCCAGCTAATTTAGGTATTTTTAGTAGAGATGGGGGTTTCACCATGTTGGCCAGACTGGTCTCAAACTCCTGACCCTTGTGATCTGCCTGCCTCATCCTCTCAAAGTGCTGGGATTACAGGTGTGAGCAGCCACCATGCCCAGCCTACTTTCTTAATAAACTTGCATTCACTTTACTTGTGAAGTTGCCCTGAATTCTTTCTTGTGCAAGATCCAAGAACCCTCTCTGGTGGTCTGGATTGGGTCCCCTTTCTGCTAATGGTAGAGTTGGAATTTAGACCCATGCCCACCTGGCCCTAAGCAGATGCTTTAATGCTTTTTCTTCTAAACTTCAGATAATACTCCATGGGCAATTACTCATTCAGTTGTATGTTTTATAGCACATTTTAAAATTAATTGCGGCTGGGCGCGGTGGCTCAAGCCTGTAATCCCAGCACTTTGGGAGGCCAAGGCGGGTGGATCATGAGGTCAAGAGATCAAGACCATCCTAGTCAACGTGGTGAAACCCCGTCTCTACTAAAAATACAAAAAAAAAAAAAAATTAGCTGGGCATGGTGGCATGTGCCTGTAATCTCAGCTACTCAGGAGGCTGAGGCAAGAGAATTGCCTGAACCCAGGAGGCAGAGGTTGCGGTGAGCCGAGATCGCGCCATTGCACTCCAGCCTGGGTAACAAGCGCGAAACTCTGTCTCAAAAAAAAAAAAAAAAATTAATTGCATAGTCTCATCTAATATAAT